AAACACCTGTTTTTGAGGCTGGATTGTAAACCTTGTAGCAGGTGTAGAAATGTCTGGAAACCCTCGATAGATCGACTAAAGAGTAAACTTTTGAACACTTTTTATCCCGTAGAGAAACACGGTGTAGATCCTGAGAAACTGTCAACAATAGTAATGATGTCGTGTGGGATCACCGGAGATCCAGCGGAGTTGTAAGTATTAAACATGAACATACTCCTGAATAATAACTCCATTAAAAACATCATTTTTATTTCACTTTAATAGTTAATAATTATAGTTTATTGTTCTTTAAAGTCTGAATGACCTTCAGTGACCTTCTCAGGTTAATGTGGAGAAAACAGGAACTTGGTTTTTCCTGGTCCAGTTCTCTTTGGTTCCTCTTGGAGGCGTTTTTGGACTTTAAGAGTCAGTGAGTGTCGCTGATTCATCCACTGTGTGTGTGTGTGTGTGTGTGTGTGCGTGTGTGTGTGTGTGTGTGTGTGTGTGTGTGTGTGTCCAATTCTCATTAATCAGTATTCCTCATTAGAAGAAGTTCAATCCCCGGGTGAAGGCGTGAACAGAGATAGCCGAGGTTAAGTGCGCTGCCGCCCGTGCTTCTTGGCGTGTTTTGGTAAAAGTCATTAAAGGCAGCATATTTAATTTGGCGATCTGAGGCCGCCGCCTCGCCGTCCTCCTCCTGCCGGAGCTGAAATGAGGCGCCGTCCCTCACTTCCTTAATAATGAGGAGCGTTATCTTCAGGCCCGGTTTGTTGTGGTTCTGTGGCTCCTCCCTCTTGTTAAACTCGGCTCCACCTCTGCTCCGTCACTCTGACATTTCCAATAAAGACAAATCGGAGTCAAACTCTAAACGGGTTTTTGTCACGTCACATAAGGAAGCCAAGCGGAGAAAAACCGCCGCCTGTTTTGTTCCAATTTCTGCTCCTCTGCGCTGTCATCGTTCCCCGCCATCAAACGTCTGACCTCCCACAGAGGACGTCTGATTCCAGTTCTCTGTCTGAGAATAGTCATTACACGCCGCCGTCTCCGTCTCGTGGCGTTGGACCCATATGGAGGCAGAGACTGTGGGGCTGGCACTTTGGAAGACGTCTTGCTAAATTGAGTGGAAGTGGGACAGAGTGCACTCCAGTTTCTCTCCTCTAATGAACAGATGATAAAAAGGGAATAATGAATTTATAACAATTCACTGCAGCAATTATCTGTGATCCCAGCGCGCTCTGCACAAACTCAAAGACAACATCTGAGAGGGAACCATCTTTATTTTTAACGTTTGTCACTTTAAAGAGTGAAGCTGATAAACTCTCTGGACTCGCCGTCTGTCAGAGATTAAAACGCCTCAGTTTATAATCTGAGAATACGCCCTCAGGTGGAGCGAGCGTCAGTCCGGAGACCTCACACATCCTGAGCTTCAGCGACCACCAAATACTCGGGCTGGATCCATGAGAGCGGTTACCATGGTTACAGGTTTAGGGCGGCGAACAACAACAACAACAATGTTTCTGTTAGGACTGATATGCTGAGGAGTTTAAAGAGAGGAGGGAAGGAAGGGAGGGAGGAAGGGAGGAAGGAAGGAAAGAAGGGAGGAAGATAAGAAGGAAGACAGGGAGGAAAGAAGGAAGGGAGGAAGGAGGAGAGCAAGAGAAGAAAAGGAAGGGCGACTCACAACAACGTTTCCATCAGGACTGATTTACAGAGTGTTTAAAGAGAGGAGGCAAGGAAGGGAGGGAGGGAGGAAGGAAAAAGGGAAGGAAGGGAGGAAAAGAAATGAAGACAGGGAGGAAGGGAAGAAAGGAAGGAGGGGAAAAGGATGGAGGGAGAAAGGAAAGAAAAGGAAGCAAGGAAGGAAGGGAGGAAAAGAAGGGAGGAAGATAAGAAGGAAGACAGGGAGGAAAGAAGGAAGGGAAGAAAGGAATGAAGGAAGAGAAGAAAAGGAAGGGAGGAGGGAAAGAAGGAATGAAGGAGTGAATGAAGTTAAAGTAAGGAAGGAAGAGAGGAAGAAAGGGAGGAAGAAAGGGAGGAAGAAAGGGGGGAAAAGGAAGGGAAGAAGGAAAAGAGGAAAAGGTAGGGAGGAAGGAAGGAAGGGAGAGAGGAAGAGAAGAATGGCGGAATAGTAATGAAAGAACCTACACCAGTGACTCTAACGTCTTCCTCTCTCTCTCTCTCTCTCTCTCCCTCTCTCTCTCTCTCTCTCTCTCTCTCTCTCTCTCTCTCTCTCTCTCTCTCTCTCTCTCTCTCTCTCTCTCTCTCTCTCTCGCTGATGTTGTGAAGAGTTTGAAGAAGCTTCAGGATTAAAATCAAAACTCCTAAAATTTTCAGAAATCAGATTTTCCCTCCAACAAGAATGAATATTCATCGGCGCTCCGATCCCTCCAGTTTGGTTCTGATTATTCTGCTAAAGAGACGAGAAAATCAATCTAGGGCAGAGGTCTGGAACTGAGGAAAACACCGAACTGTGGAGTCATTCTGCAGAGTCTGAGCCGACCTGAAGGCTCCAGTCCAGAGGGTCAGAACTCACCAAAGATAAAATATTATGTTTATATATAAAAGCTGCTGTGTTGAATGTTCACGTTAACTTGAATGGTTACGATCAGCTACGATCGGACGATACGACCTTTTAGGAGACGATCAGGATAAAGTTCTGGTGTCCCAGCTGGTCCTGTATCAGAAACAGACACGGCTCTGCGGTGGAAATCACTGTATTGGATCAAAGTGGGTCCAGAAACCCTGTCATGAGGTTCTGAACAGAAGAGGTGGTGCAGACGGACTCTGTCCTTAATGATGAAACAAAATCAGAACCACTTTTGATCCAAAGACTCGAGTACTGCCTGGCTGTAAAGTTCTGTTGGGTATTAGTCCCTAAAACCAGTTCAGAGACCTGAGGTGTCTCTGCTGACCAGAACCCTGATCCATACCCGGGGTCTCTCCAGCTCCTTTTCTTCTCTCTGTCACTCTGTCTGTCATTTCAGAACTTTTTGGACCTCTTGGTTCTGCAGATTGACTCTGAAGTCTGGATGTGTATCACAGGTGACCCGGTCCCTCTGACTCCTCCTGACAGCATTTGGACCTGGCTGAGTTCCAGCCTGTTAGCTGAACCGACGGGTTGATTCTGGGGCCGGCGGTCCTGATTGTGTCTGCAGCCTGAAGTAATCGGGTCAGCCCTGCAGAGAGACGAGTTTATTCAGCATCGATCGATCAGGGAGTCCGACCAGGATGAGGGGAGGATGCTGAGTGGAGCAGAGTCTCCCCCACTGAGGACTGACACTGACCTGGTTCTGAACACAGCGGTGCTGCTGGTACCACACACGTTTGAAACCATTATGAAACTTAGAGAGAGTCTGGTCCGACAACATCAAACCTCACAGACTCTCTTTGACTTGCAAATCACTGCAGAGGCTTTTATTTTGAAAGGGTAATGGTAGATGTAGTGGTGATGAATGAAAACATCCAGACGTCGACTTAAAGGACGTTTCAGTGTCATAGTTTGAAAATGGGTTCAATCTACGGCGACAGGAAAGTGGTCAAAAAAACCACATTAGTGAGCGACGACCACGACGACGACCACGACGGCGGTCCAATTTGCAAATCGTCGGAGCGTGAATAATTCCACCTCCTGAAAGGAAATGCAAATGAGAGCAGGTGGAGAGGAAGGAGGAGGTGGAGGGTCAGAGACGGTCCATCAAGTCATTCAAGAGAAAAGACAGGAAGTTCTAATTATGACGGAGACTCACTTCATCTGTTTACTCAGAGATTAGAAGTTCTGGTTCTGTGGAAGTAGAACTTTTATCTGGTCCTGAACCTAAAACTGGATCTGAACTAAGTCTTCATCCAGCCTGGAGGTCATATTTACTGACTGTGTAAAACAGGAACGCAGTCACATGACCTTGTCTTTACCTGATCCGTCCCAGAAACCCGATTCGTACTGCGCATGTGCGAAACGTACGTCACTTTAACAAAACTAATGGAGATATTTAATACTTCAAGAACTCACAAGAACCCGCAGATCCACGTTCAATCACACGATAACGAGTTGTCTCTCTAAAGACAGACACATAGACATATAAGCAGTAGATTGTGTCCTTCCAGAGGAGGAAATCTACTTCTAGACTTCTAGAATCAGCATCTCCTCATCCATGGTGTCATCGGGGTGAAATGGCGTGTAGACATTCAGGATGAAGGTGGAGATTGAGGTTGAGATGTTGTTTTAAACTGAAGATGCAGCATCTATGATTTCCAGTTCTTCGTTGAAAGGACGACTGGACTTAGTTGAGACGTTTCGCCTAAGGTGAAACGTCCCAACTAAGTCCAGTCGTCCTTTCCAAAAGAGAGTTCAATTTTGATTTTGATCCTCAGAGGAACGTAAAGAAGTCGGTGTAAATTGACACGTTAACTTGAATGGTTACGATCAGCTACGATCGGAGGATACGACCTTTTAGGAGACGATCAGGATGAAGGTGGGGGTCATGTCTGTGAAACGTCTAATAAAAATCTGTCTTCAGACCGTGGTCTAGTTCTTTTTTAGGGTCTCGGTCTGATGATCTGAAGTTCAGCTCATTTTTCTGCCATGACTCCACCGCCTGTTGATTTCGCAGGCTTCCATTTTCCCGTCATGATGGGAGGAAATATTCCCTCGCCGTGTCAGGGTCTGACACTTTCACTGACTGCTCTGACAGGAACTGACGCCGGGAATCATCAGCTGTGTCATTTTATGGTCGATCAATAACGGGACGCCTTTCCTCCGCCGTTTACTTCGCCACCAGAAAGTGACGAATTCTCCGGTTTGATGGTTTATCCTCCAGAACTTGTGATGGGAGTGTTTGTCAGATCCAGACTCGGTACCTCAGCCCGGTCCTCCTGATCGGTGGGACTCTGAGAGGCTTTCAGTCAGTGTCAGCCTCCGACTCCATGATGCCGCCGCCCCCCTCCCCCCAGCTGTTGTCTGATTAGCGTGGGCGGTAAGAGAAGGTCAGAGTTCATTGACTTCATTGACGCAGGAGTTCATGGATTTAGTTTCACCTCTGCCTCCTGGGTAATTGATTGGATTGCCAATGCTTATGATGAATGTGTGTGTGTGTGTGTGTGTGTGTGTGTGTGTGTGTGTGTGTGTGTGTGTGTGTCCTTTAAACAGGCTCTCTATTAATGTGAACCCCATGCAGTCTGTCTCACGGTTCTGCTGACCTCAGGTAGTTGTTCTGTTGGACCAGGATGGTCCTCTGAGACCTCATGATCTGACCCGGTGAGGAGGAACTGTTGTCGTCTCTAAAGTCACTGAAAACACAAACTCATGAGTCAAAGTGGCTCCACTGATTACCGGGCCGTAGACGAGCAGCACCAGAACTCTGGATCACTTCAGCTCATTTACATGCTGGTATTTTAATTTACTTGGATACAGGCTGCGTGTTAAATCCCAGCTGTAGTACCGGTACCTGCCACCAGGTGGGCTGAGACTGTGACGAGCATAAAACCATCTGACTGGAGCCAAAGACAAGCTTGATTTGAAACCTTTCAAAATAAAAGCAAAAAAATACCAGGAGTATGTTTTTTTATGTAGGAAGTTGATTCAAAGCCTTTCAAAATAAAAGCAAAAATACCAGAAGTATGTTTTTTTATGTAGGAAGTTGATTCAAAGCCCTTCAAAATAAAAGCAAAAATACCAGAAGTATGTTTTTTTATGTAGGAAGTTGATTCAAAGCCCTTCAAAATAAAAGCAAAAATACCAGGAGTATGTTTTTTTATGTAGGAAGTTGATTCGAAACCTTTCAAAATAAAAGCAAAAATACCAGTAGTACCATATTTTTCGCACTATGAGGCGCACTTAAAAACTTTTGGTTTGCCGGAGCGCTGCAGCTACCGTACCTTGCGGAGTTATTGAATGAGTTCAATAAAGTTTGACTTATTATCTGACTGTTTTGTTTGGCTTAATGCGTTTTATGTATGAAAATAGACGCATTCATCGATGGTGCGCCTTATAATCAGGTTTGCCTTATTGTGCGAAAATCCGATACTCCTGGTATATTTGCTTTTATTTTGAAAGGATTTGAATCAACTTCCGACATAAAAAAACATACTCCTGGTATTTTTGCTTTTATTTTGAAAGGATTTGAATCAAGCTTGTTTTTGGCTCCTCTCTTTAAACACAAGTATCAAACGGGATGATCACTTCAAACTAACTGGAGCACGTGAGAAAAAAAAGCGTCACTACGGTCCTGACAGTGGAGGTCTGCAGTCGAACACTGCTCACCAAAGCTGCGTCTCAGAGTCCACCTGCAGGCTCCGTCATCCTGCGTTCGCTGTTCTGATGTTATATTCATATCTGGACTTTTCTCTGTCTTCTTACCTGCAGAACAGTCAGTTGGTTTGAACTTCTAGTTCATGATCAGAAACGCTTCAGTTTATTTCTGTAGATGCATTAAAGAAAGAGATAAACACTGAGACAAAAGTGGAGATAATCTGAAAAGTGTTTTTTAATGTGATTAACAGAAGATAGAAGAACACGGAGGAGAGGAGCTGCAGGCTGATGATCACCTCTAACTTTGTTTTCATTCAGAACAGAGAGACACGAACGTTTGTCAATGATGCTGCAGATTTAGACCCAAGAAAACTCTTCCTTAGAGGGTATTCCAGGATATTCCAGGGGTACTCCAGGCGTTCCAGGGTTATTCCAGGCCCTGCAAAGATGAAGCGGTTTGCAGAGAGCGATCCTGCTGCAGTCTGCACACACAGGTCTCTGAACTCTATCTTGTTCCCTCATCTCTGCAGTGTTTGTTGATGTGTTTCTGCAGGATTAGTCTGCATAAAGCACCATCTCTTTTGCATCACCCTCTGAGATGCGAACGAGGAGCAGTAGCCGTATATCTGCGCCGCATTACTGTTACTGCGGCCTTTCATTTGGCTTTTTTTGCAATAACTCTCCAGCGCCAAAGGAGCTGCAACATAAATTTTGAATCAACCTGTATGAAGTCTACAGCGCGCACGTACACGGGCGTGCACGCACACACACACACACACGCGCTCACACAGGCAGACAAACTTCCTCCAGGGAGCGCAGGAATTAATAATTCACATACATTTCTGGCACATCTCATGTGTTCTCTTTTATGACATCTCCGAACGCCGAAGAAAGCAGAGAGCCGATGGGAGGCCGATCTGTGGAATCATTACGGCTCAGCAATAACGCCGCCGCCGCCTTAATGAAGTAGAAGATGGATTGATGCTGGCCGCCGTTATTGCTATTCAGAGAGCCCTCCCCATCGCTCTGCGGAGGGCGAGCAGGACACCGAGAGAGGCGTGAAGAGAGAACAGGGACACGGAGGCTAATGAAGGGACCTCTCTGGACGTCCGCCGCAGCAGTGACTCTCTCTCCTCATGGAGCAGATTTTTACCTCTGCAGAAGCTCCCCTCTCCTCCTCCTCCTCCTCCTCCTCCTCCTCCTCCAGCTCATATTATCTGCCGTGCAACAGTTCCTGATTTAGGCCTGCTCTCGGCTGAAGGCCTCCTCCACACAGTTCTTGTTTATCACCCTGAAGAGTCCGGAGACGCCATGAAAAAAAGATGAGAGCTGTGTCCTCTTCCCCTCGTTAAGAACTGGACCTCTTCCTGAACACACAACAGACCGGCTCTTGGCTCAGGAAGCAGTTAGAGGGTTTTATCTGAAGCTCAGTCCTCCTGCTGTTCAGTCTGGACTCTGAGGCTCAAATCTCTGATTCGCTCAGAATCGTCTCTCTCCTCGAATGAAGCCCGCCGTTGTCCCCACGTCTCTTACGCTGAGTGTTACGGTGTGTTTGACCCTAAATGAGTTTTATGACAGAATATCCCTTTAATACTCTGTGAAATGATGATGTTTGGATTATTAATGGAGGAAAAATCCACAAACCTGCTTCTGAACCAGAACTGGACCTGAAAAGACCGTCAGAACACTCAGAACTCCGAGCTGACTGATCATGACGGTGAATACGAGCAGCTGAGTTGAGTTCATCCTGACCCGGTTCCTCCGGTACCGTGGAGGATTCTCTTATTAAACCTGCACTCTGGAAATTGACTTTCTCCTCCTCTCCCATTAAATCCAGTGACTCAGAATTGGGCCAAAAACATCAGCAGGAGAGGAGGAGAGGTTCTGACTCTGGGTCAGTGGTTTGGTTTCCTGCTTCGTGTTTGTTTGAGGTCTGCAGAGGTCTGTCAGGATCCAGGTTCTGTCCCCAAAAAGAGGACTTCACTTTGAGTCGTTCAGGGTTCAGAGTGGACCTGCAGAGACCCGGAGAGGTAGAACCCGTAACATCATCTAGACTGGACCGTTTATCCGGTACCTGTCAGGGTTTAGAGAGCAGCGTCTGACTCAGTGACGTTTGACGTTTGTCTGATTAATAACTGATCTTTAATGATCAACCTTTGGGATCAATAATAAAGAGAGAGAGCAGCATCTATAGACAAGTCGATATAGATGAACGTATATAGATCTGTAATGATGCAGATATTAGGACACGATAGAACAAATATTAATCAGAGTGGATGATGATGGTGATCAATGCTAACTTTGTCATTGATCAGACTGATTAATCGATCAGGAAAAGTGAGATAAAAACTAATTAACAGAGTGAGTTTAAACATGAGCTCTAACTTTGTAACTCTGGTTTAAATACTAGATAACTTTAGAGAGACGTGAAGTGAGACAGCAGACGATTGGATTTACCTTAGGGGATAAATAACGCCCTTCCTTCCTTCCTTCCTTCCTTCCTTCCTTCCTTCCTTCCTTCCTTCCTTTCACACAAGCTCATGTTGAAGGAAAAATATTTACATTAATGTTTGGATATGATGGAGTTTGTTTAAATTTCCCCCAATTTCCAGTTAATTCCCATAAATTCCCAATAATTCTATTTATTCTCATGAAAAGTTTTCAATTTGAAATATTTCCAAAATTCCCCCCAAATTTACCGTAAATATACCACCCCTTTGCACCCCTACTTGGACTGGACCAGAACTCTTCAGGTCCAGAGTCCGCTCACTTTTAGAGGATCAGGATTGAAAGGACCCTGAAGCGGGTCTGAACCCGGACTTTAACCAGCTGATCTTCCTAAAACAGCCTCTCGCTCTTTATTTCCTGTTTCTGCGTGTTTGGATGTTTCCTGAGATTGCACCGCCCTCTTTTATAACACCTGCTTCCTGTTGTGTGTTTTCAGTCTTCAGGCCCGATCGGAGGAACATCGTGCCTCAGGCACAGTTTAGTCCGGGCGCTGCCAAAACACAGAGTTGAAAAGTGCAGCTTGAATATTTTAATCTTTCTAACTTCACCTTCATCTCCTCTCTTCACCGTTAACCGGACGTCATATCACCGACTCTGTTAAAGCAGAAACATGTTTTTATGTTTTTATGTTTTTATGTTATTGAAGCTCATTTTCAACAGGCTGTCCTCTCTCCACGGTGAGCCGACTCCTTTCCTCTCGGTCACATCATAGACGTTCAGATGATAGAGAGGCGGTGGAGAAACAAACGCAGATGGTCGTGGTCAGAACTCGGACTTTAGGCGGTTTTTGAAGGACCCAAAGTTAATCTCAACGCTTTTGTAAATCTCCAACATTTCCTCACAGCCTCATCTTCATCATCATCATCATGTTAAATATCCGGACATACAAACACAGTCTTATTCAGCGATCACTCGTCTTCATCACCACCTCTCCTTCCTCTTGATTAACCTAAAGGGTGATAAATATTCGGCGCCGTTGTTCACAAATATTCCTTGCTCCCTGTGAGGGCCGGGTGTTTGATTTATGCCGACAAAGCAATCTTGTTTTATATTCATAGAAAATAAAACTATTATCTTCCACGAGCCAAACAAATAAAATGTCTCCTCTTCATTTAGCCGACGGGAGAATGTGGGGGAACGTTCTCCGACAAATCCAGAGGGAGAGGGTTTCCAGCTGAATACCTCCAGGTCTATTTATGTGGGAGATGAAAAGCTTGTATAACACCAGCATGATCCTCGCTTTCTGAGGAGGAGGAGGAGGAGGAGGAAGAGGAGGAGACGCCTGGTGAGGAGCTGCGTTCAGTCGAGGGGGAACAGTCTTGAGGAGATTTAGAGCCGCTCCTCAGAAGGTTCCTGAAGTTCTGCTCCGTCCTCGCTCCGCAAAGATGCTGCAGTTTAAGACGTCTGTCCGGGACCACGGCCCCGCCTCAGCCTCTTAAACCCCGCCCCCCGCCCTCGCTCAGACGCTGATTTCAAAGCTTTGCTCGGGCATTAATTTTTAAAGGTAATCTGACCACAGGCAACAAATATTAATGCATTCTGCAGCAGGAACATCAGATATCCTGCATTTTTAATGTGTGAGCGGAGAGCAGGCTGCAGCCGGAGCTCAAACTTTGTCCAAGGGATTCTGTGTGAGGTCCAATCACAGCCGATCTACAGAAACCCAAACGGTGAGCTCGATGCGGCGGCGTTGTTATGCAGGATGGCAGCCCGCCTATGTAAATGACATGAGGTGTGTTGGTTAGACAGGCCTAACCTTTCCCACAGATCGTTAGTTACCTTGACCTTTCGTCAATAAGGGCAGAGAGATTCCCGGTCCAGGTGAACCTGAACTTTTCGCCGGCCCACTCCATCACCACTACCACGCTGACACCTCCTTTTCACGGCGCTGACCTTTTTAGACAGAAACCGACCAGTTTGTCGACTCAGGGATGGAGGTAATGTATGCCAACAGATGTCTGACATCTTAACAACCTCAGCTCGCTCTCTTCATTAGTGTTTCCTTCCTCTGCTGCTGCTGCTGCTGTGTACAGGATGTTTTATCACCGCCGCCGCCACCGCCGCCGTGGAGCCGAGTGTTAAAACTAGATTCTCTGTAAGTGAAGAGAACATGACGAGTGAAAGTTTACTGAGGGTGGGATAAAGTTTCTGTGGATGTAGTCAAAGAATGAAGAGCCTGAGGAGGAGGAGACTTTATTAAATATGACGACAGGCAGGTCGGCTCGGCGCGTGTACGACCTGATTTGACCTGTAGGGGGGGTTATCGTAAAAACACAATGATTCTCTTCAGCTGACTGTGGTCACAGTTACGTTTCCAAGAGGTGCTTGTTGAGTTTAGATGCTAAAGTTTAGACAGGTGGATCCTGACAGAGGTCAGACTTCATGGAGCTCTTCATGGAGGTCTTCTTGGAGGTCTTCATGGAGATCTTCATGGAGGTCTTCTTGGAGGTCTTCTTTGTGACGCTGTGTTTGTTCTGCTGTTGTCGTCTTGATAACTGTGGAGATGAGATGTTCAGAAGTGAAAAGTCGAACCTGGTGGAGATCAGAGACCTGTCGAGGGAGGAGATGTTGGATCATGTTGGCTGGTAAAGAGAAGAAGCTGAGAACATTGAACCAGGTCTGCTGAGCTGAGACTGAAGTTTGGAGGAAACACGTGAGTCTGAGGTCGAGTCACAGAAGAAAAAAAAACTCGTTTTTAAAGAGTGGCGGCTTTTATTTGACCGTGGCGGTGCGTCACGACCGATTACATAAAACGCTGTTATCTAGTCGTACTGAGCGATGTAAACAAACACTGTTGTCAGCATTATGCCGACCACGGCCCACAATGCATTGCGACATAATGTGCCTTTATGGTTGGTTGACTTTCTCACTTTACAATCAAAGATGGTCTGAATGTTTTTTATTGTTTGACAGTCACTGTAACTCAGAGGAAGGTGAGCGCGTACCTGTTAAAGGAGGTTGCTAAGCAACAATAACCGATCAGGCTGGTTACCTGAAAACGTTAAACTGAGATTCACAGTTTGTCGTCCAGCTCTGAGTGAAGGTTTCTGTCTGAGTGTGACTGACAGTCGACTTTAGATAAACAGAAACGTGAAGTTCTTTGTGAAAAAAATAATCATTAGAATAATTAATAAATTAGTCGATAGATTAGTCCACTGATCAAAAACATAATCGTTAGATTCATTGATTAAAAACATCGTTATGTTCAGCCCCTCTGACAGAGACGTGAGCCTCTTCTCTCGCTGATCTGTGGACCAAAAAAAAACTGACTGTGAGATAAAAAGTGCGGCGACCTCCGACCTTTTCCTACGTCAGTGTGAGCGGATCTAAAGTCCGATTATAATTTAATATATTAACAGACTGAGGTCATCACCATCATCATCATCATCATCATCATCATCACCATCATCATCATCATCATCATCATCATCATCTTCATCATCACCATCATCATCATCATCATCATCATCTTCATCTTCATCGTGGAGGTTAATCTGCAGGAGGCTCTCACAGTGATTGGAGGACAGTCACTCTTCAGTGTTCGTGTTCTTTATTCTGCTCCAACTTTCTCCTTGTTTTCACTCTCTGGTTCTGGTCCTGGTCCTGGTCCTGGTCTGAGGACAAGGTCACCTGAGACTACATAGTCTGATTACTTTGGAGGATTTTAAAAACCAGGGTTGAGGATTATCTGACCCCTCTCCTGCCTGATGTTTGGACTTAAATACTCACAGCGATGATTGACCTTCAGGGACGAGTGGAAACTTCTGCAGATGATCCTCCAGAAGTTTCTTCAGCAGAGTCCAGTTCCCCCTTCAGATCAAGTCTTGGACCATTAACCCTTTATTGCCTTTGGTGTCAAATTTGATCTATACTTTCATGATACTTCTATCAATCAGTATGATCAACAGATTACTAAAACACCTGAATACAGATCAATGATAAAAATGTCCTTTAATCAGTTTCCAAAAAGATCTAATGGATCAAACGAGATCAATAAATAAAATCATTTGTTAGATTTTAAGGATATTTTCATTGTTTTGGTTTTCAGTAAAAAGTTAAATCAACATTTCAGCTCCAAAAATTTTAGGATTTTCTGTCGATAATTTGTGTTTTCAGACATTAAAGAGTTAAAAGCTGCAGAAACATGAACCAGAGAGCAGGAAGAACCAACAAGAGTCTCAGAACCTCATGAGGGAGGACCTTCAGACCCCCTTTTAGTATCCAGACCAGTTTCTGTTTAAACCCAACACTGGGTCTGAAAAACTGTCCTGGTTCTGCAAACTCACCGACCCTCACCGGCCCGGTTTGATTCTCCGGGCTCGGACCGGTTCTGTTGTGACAGACAGGAGGTTCCCTTTCTAATCATTTCACCCCTGACCTCAAACAGCCCGACTACGCCACTGTCAGAGACTACAACTCTGATCCAGAAACGTCAACATGTGGTTCTGCATCCTGGACGGTCCAACAGTACCGATGGAGTCCCGAGGTTTTCGTCATATTTGGATAGTTTGACCCCAGAGAAGGTCGTGTGTTTTTCTCTTTATCGATCACCGTCAGTCGCTCTGAATAAAAACCGTATTGATCGTAATAAAGTCGTAGAAAGTCCTAATTCCCGACTCTTCAGACCGTTCAGGGTCGGCGCTGAACACGGCGGGGATCATCCACAGGGCGTCTTTGACACTGACAGGAACTCCTGCCTCCTGAAGTCAGGGAGCGCCGTGTCGGGTCGTCTGACAATCTCATTTCCAAATCCCTGAGAAATCGCTGCAGCCGTCTCTCTTCTCCTCGTCTCCTCGTCTCCTCGTCTGACACCCTGAAAGTGAGGAGCCTCAGGTCTGCTCAGCAGCAGCAGGAAGGAGGCTGAAAGAAGGAGGTCACAGAGATTGACTGAATCAAGATTAAGCTGTCGGAGCAGCACTCGGGCTTAAATGTGCAGATGAGAGCACAAAGCCCACAAGTCATTTTACAGATTGCTAGATGTGGCGGCGCCGTGCTCTGCCCTCTTGAGTTCACGGCGTGGGGACGGTAATCAGAACTCCCCCGTCGCCCACACACGAGCAGCTGGAGGCTGAAGGTGATCGCTCTAAAGTTCGCTCTGACAGGGTTCTCCTCTCTGGGAGGGTCGCCATCGTGGGCGTTTGCTGCCCTGTACTCTCCAGACGTGTCCAATGAGACGCCTCGGACCGTCGCTCAGATGGTCCAAAATGTGACCCAGTCTGCAGACGGTTCTGTGTCCGACTGACGCAACACGAGGTCATCAGAACTCTGGTTTTAGTCACAGGAGCGTCAAACGAACTGAAAAACTTCATATGTAAGAATTCAGAGTTTTTTAAGCAGCTTCACTGAATTAAACTGATTTACAGGATAGAAGACGTGAAAATCTGCAACAAAGACTTTTTAAAAGACGGTCTGGGTCATGTGATCAGGAGGAAGTATCTCGTGTAACCATGCGGTGCATTAAGCACGCCATCATGCATTAAACCAGGGTGGCCTAACGGGGCCCCCGACTGGTGCAGGGGCAGAACACACGCTCGTGTGTGTGTGTGTGTGTGTGTGTGTGCATACAAACTGAAGTACTGTTTGTTGACTTTGTCCATATTTACCATGAATATCTGCTGTTAGGGGAGAAAAAATCGATTCACTGAAGTGTCTTGAATTTTTGTTTTAGGATTTCAAAATCGATTTTATGTTGAAAAATCTTTCTTTCATGAGCCTCTTCCTGTCATCTCCTTCCTTCAGCTCAGAACAGACTCGTGGGTCTTTGTTCAGAGTCCTGATCTGAAACACAAACTGACTGACAGACAAAGAAAACGACAACAACACGACAACCGCACAGACGCCTTCTTCAGGACAGTTCTTGGCGGTTGTAAAAGTTCAGACTCCACCCACCTTTCAGCCGACCTACCAGGAGGCGGGGTTAGGGCGGGCCTTAGCGTCCAGGCTAACAGCTACAGCATGCTAACCTGTCAAAGTCAGTCCTGCCTTTTATTGTGTGGTTTAAAGCTGTTCAGACCAAAGTGGAGGGGGATTGTGGCTTTTTGGGATTCTGCAGCTTAAAGAGGTTACCCCTAGTGGACACTCAGGGAACTGCAGTTTTTGCCACTCCTCCTCTGGCTTCATTTCTCAAGATTAGGAGTCGCTGCTTCAACAAAGACTTCAGGAACTGTGTCTGATTCTCTCGGCTCTTATTTTAACATTTAAAACACAATCATTTTCACGTGTCACCGTCACGTCGACGACGGCGTCTCACCTGGATACCACTGCACACAAACTCCTGATATGACCCTTAAAGGTCCAGTCCGTAGAGATGGAGGTACTCTGTGATATCCAGTGTTCAGGTTTTGGATGGTAGCGCCCCCTTGCTCACCCCTCTCTCTTCTTCGTCTGACTTTGGTCCAGCTGAATGTCACTCACTGCAGCTTTAACAGGATTAACCCTTTCACTGTTTTCAGTCTGAAATTAGGAGAACGCTGATTTTAAAGGACATTCAGCCTTTTCCATCATTTTCCATCTGTTTCCTGGAGAACTGGTCGGCTGTTTTCCAGGTTTTCCAGGTTTTCCAGGCCTCCCTGTATCAGTGCTGTCTAACTTATAAAATCAACTCGACCTTTTGTCTCTAAAATAATCTGACTTTAATTTTCTGGATGAGGCGAGAGATGAAACGACTTTGATCACATGACGTGATATGAGCGTAGATCCTAATTAAATAGATGCCACCTCTGCCTCCTCTCAAGTGAATAATCCGTCTGAACCATCGATGATTCTCCGTCTCCGGGGAAACTCTTTAAAGTCACGGGGCCGTTTTCTCTTTAATTAACGTGAAGCTCGTCTGGGAAGCGGATCAGCATGACTCAGGTTTATCAGACTCCCCAGAGGCTGTCCCCAAAACGCTCCCTGATCCGTCTGTGATCTGAGAGTTGGTGGAAAAACACTCCCAACACGCTGCGGTTCTGCGCTCGGCCCTGTTCCTGATTGTAACTCGAACAGCAGTTTTGATTCATCACAGTTGCAGCAGGTTTCCGGGGAGCCCCCGCGGCGCTCGGTTCCTCGGCTCCTGTGATTGGCAGAGTTTCAGAGCGTGCGCGGAGCCTAACTGTGCGCTCATTAGTGTCACGGGACAGACAGGTGCAGAGAAATGAAGTTATTGTAGCTCAATTAAAAGCTGGAATTACTTCTCTAATTGCTTTTATTCCCCGCTCAGCTCTGGTGCTGATCCGTCACAGAAAGACTCTCTGCTCTTTAAAATCAAGGATTCAGGATGTTGGTCTTTCACAGTCCTGGACTCACTCCCCTCGTTCGCCTCCTGCTCCCTCTTCTTCTCGCTCTGATGTCCTCTCAGGGTTTTCACAGAGTGGTTTCTGGAGCTGGAGATCGGGGAAAACATCGTTTCCTAAACTTGCTCCAAAGATTGTTCCTGGGAAACCTGCCCGACCTCGTCTTAAAGCTTTATTATATGTCAGGCTGTAAAAAAGTTCAAGATCTCTTTTGTTTTTACAGCAATAGAGTCTTTTATTTGGTGACAGTGGAGACCTGTTATTGTTTCCACGGTTACAGCTGTATTTCTCATCCACGTTAGTTATCACCTCCTTGGTTAATTGTAGTCCGGTTTAGAAACAGGACCAGCTCCTCGGCCTGCTCCTGTTTCAGACCGCTCCCTCTGACTCCGGAGGAGGACTCAGCTGGACTCTGCATTAACTATTCATTTTAATAACCGACCTCAGACACAGGTGCCCCCCCAGAACCACACCACTCCTCCTCCTCCTCAACATGAGCAGCACTCAGAGTCAGACGAAGATGAACCAGGAGGTGAGACGGGAACTTCCTCCTGGTCTGCACAAGAAGATCAGTGAGAGAAGGTCTCTGAGCGGACCTGACCGGGTCTGAAGGATGATGGTTCAGACCGGACTCCTGCTCCTGTGCCGTTTCCATCATTGGAGCAAAGTTCAGGAGCTAGTTCAGGCAGGGAGCTCGGGCCTCATGTCCTCACACTTTCATCTCTGCCTCGTCTGTTTCAGAGCGACCCCCCTGACAGACTCTGAGGGGCTCTGAGATATGATTAGGGATCTATCTATCTATCTATCTATCTATCTATCTATCTATCTATCCATCTATCCATCTATCTATCTATCTATTTCATAAATCACCTAACGTCATCATAACAAACCATGAACACAAAGAGCAGAGACTTCAAGCAATAATAAAGTTAATTTTAAACATGTTTTGAAGCTTTTCTTATATCAACATTTTAACATTCCCATGTTCGTAAAGATTAATCTGATAGTTCATGACAACAGCTGATTCTAAGCTGATGTGGAGCTCGTCTTTCATCAAATCTACGTCAACTAGTGACAAAACTGGGACTGTTGCTGTGACGACGACCCGCCCCTTTCACTCAGGTGCTTTGCTTTTACATGGTTGTGATTGGTTGTCATAGACTTGTACAAACTTAACCTCGCAGAGTTTCACCCTAACCCTCTGATTCACTTGTTTTGCTAAAATAGCTCCACAGGAAACCTTTAGACGGCTGCTGCACTCATCTCTCTCTCCATCCTGTTTTCACGTCTGTTTTTTTCTTCTTCTATGGTGGCGCCAGTAAAACAACTCTTTTTTTCCCAGATATGATGAACGATTTGACTTTTTAGGATTTAATAATTATTCGAACATTGTAAAATTGTTGCACATCCCTAGATATGATCCTGTCACTCCTCAGACTTTAGGTAGGTCAGATAATCGAGTCTCAGACGCTGAACCAGAACAGAACTGAAGGTCTGATTCTGGTCTCTGTGTCAGTTTTGTGTCCCCTCTCCGACAGGTAGCATCAGATGGTTTATAGACGGATGAAACACTCAGGAGTCTGTGTTGGTCTCAGGTTCAGCGTAGACCCCCTGCCGTGCTAAAACCTCAGAAAATCCTCCTCCCATGAAGATCCTGTCGAGCAGGGTTTTGCTGAGCGTGCGCTCTTTTCTCATTAGACTCCATGTAATTACAGCAGCGAACAAATACAGAGGTGTTTGTTCAGAAGAGGGTTTCCAATTAAAACGCCTGAACCGCTTCACTCACCACTGAGCAGGTGCAGGATTTGGTCTCTTTTCTGCTGATTTACATCCTCAATATGGGGGTCTTTGGATGGTGATGATTTAAAGATGGAGGAGGAGTTTCCCATCAGCCATGTGGTCTGAACTTTACAGTATATTACTGTTTATTAGTCTGGACTGACTGTAAATAAGTGAAGTCACACACTTCTAAAAGAGTTAAAACACAGTATAAGAAAAATCACTTTTTAAAGGTTTAAAAATCATGTAAACTTCAGATTAATCAAAAAAATTATAATATAATGTAATAATACTAATAATAATAATCATAATAATAATAACAATAATAATAATATAATAATAATAATATAATAATAATGATTATAACAACAATTACTATAATAATATAATAATATAATAATGATTATAATAATGATAATCATAATATTTTTTAAATATAATAATTATGATAATGATAATTTCATAAAAATAATAATAATAAAAATTATGATAATAATAATAATAAGAAGAAGAAGAAGAAGAAGAATAACGATGATTTAATTAAAAAAATAACAATGATAATGAAAATAAAATAATAATAACAATAATAACAATAATAATAAATAGTATAATATTATAGTGAACAGCAGCTGTTGATGTGGTGTGTCTCCGGTCTGATCTGGTGTTTAGGTTTCTCTCTGACCCCCTTCTTTGTCTGGTTAGACTCTCGCCCCGTAAACACCTGTAATCTTCCACCAATCACTGTAATTAACCTTTGAAACGATCAGCTGCTTATAGGAGCAGCAGAGGCAGCAGACATGATTGTGTGTTATTGAGTGTAATTACAGTTAAAAATGACTTTGTGTTTGGGTGTTGTGTGACATTAGCTCTGATTGTCGCCTCATTAGAAAGTCAAGAAATAAAAACATTATTCAAACGTTTCTGCTGCGGTGCAGACGGCGTTCAGGAAACTCAGGAAAGTCATGGAGAGGTTGGAGTACAGTCGAAGTTTATGGCGTCCAGAAGTAGACGGCGGTCACAGGATGAGCAGACGTTTGCATGTGTACAGGAAGAAGACGTCATTATTGGCTCTTGTGTAAAAGGTCCTGAATATTCGAGGTACTTCAGCAAACAGAGTCACAGAGGTTCGACTCTCTACAGTTTCCTGAAGAATAAAGTTTTATATTTAACTGAATGAACTCTGACAGAAAAGTCTCTCTGTGGGTTTCCGTCCCTGAAACACCAGCAGCAGCAGTGAGAGTGAACTCTGAGGGTGAAAACGGTGATTTATAAATACTGCAGCTCATAATGTGAGCTTTCTCCGATCCACTCAGACATTTAAATGATTCACAAACATTTTATCTGAACGCCAACCTTTGCTCTTCATATTCAACAACAAATGACTTGTTATCCGCGGCGTGTTTAGCTCTGATAGGTCGTAAAAGTATTTCTCCTCTTTTTAAAGATTCATCTCTATGAGCCGTTTTTCCATAATGACATGTTTGATGGTCATTTTGTGCTTTGCTTCTCTGTCCTCATTTCACAATCACCTCAGAAACCCACACAGGCGCGCAGAATGGCGCTCCTAATGTGAAAGCAGGAAATCGGAGGATAATTGGCTCATGCACGCCGCTGTTGTTTGTTTGACTGATTGTAATGGTCGCCAATTGTTCTCTCCTCCCCAATCAAGCAATAACGGCGGCGGCGGCTTTGAGGGAGCTCCAAAGTTTGACCGAAGATGACTGACATTTGTTTTCCAAATGAGTTAAAGGATATCTCTCTCTTTTCTTCTATCAGTTCAATTATAACAAAGTCGACACGTTCAGACCGCCATCGAGGATTCAGACTCTTTAACCTGAGGGAGCCGGACGGTCAACTTCTACATTTAAACTTCTACATTTAAACTTCTACGTTTAAACTTCTACGTTTAAACTTCTACATTTAAACTTCTACGTTTAAACTTCTATGTTTAAACTTCTACATTTAAACTTCTATGTTTAAACTTCTACGTTTAAACTTCTACATTTAAACTTCTACATTTAAACTTCTACGTTTAAACTTCTACATTTAAACTTCTACGTTTAAATTTCTACATTTAAACTTCTACGTTTAAACTTCTACATTTAAACTTCTACGTTTAAACTTCTATGTTTAAACTTCTACATTTAAACTTCTATGTTTAAACTTCTACGTTTAAACTTCTACATTTAAACTTCTACATTTAAACTTCTACGTTTAAACTTCTACATTTAAACTTCTACATTTAAACTTCTACGTTTAAATTTCTACATTTAAACTTCTACGTTTAAACTTCTACATTTAAACTTCTACGTTCATGAAGCTCAGAGTTCATCCAGGAAAACTTTGTTAAAACAGACGAGAGCTGAATCTAACCTGATCATGTCAGTCTAACCGGATAAAGACCATTTTAAACTCTAACATTTGAACCTTCTTTCCTTCCTTCCGTCCTTCCTTCCTTCCTTCCTTCCTCCCTGTCCTTATACCTTCCTCCTTTCCTTCCTTACTTCCTTCCTCCCTTAGTCCCTTCCTCCTTTCCTTCATTTCCTTCTTCCTTCCTTTCTTCCTTCCTTTCCTTCCTTCTCCCTTCTTCCTTCTTCCTCCTCCCTTCCTTCCTTCCCTCCATCCATTTTCCCTTCCTCCCTTCCTTCCATCCTCCCTTCTTTCTTCCTTCCTCCATTCCTTCCTTCCTTCCTTCCATCCTTCCTTCCTCCCTCCCTTCCTTCACTTCATCCTCTCTTCCTTGACTTTATCTCTCTGTCTGATTTTACAGTACTTTACTGTAATATTAGTTTAATTTTACAGTACTTTACTGTAGTTCTTAGGTTTAATTATACTGCAGCTCAGAGTCGGATCTGTTTGAATGTTAAGTTTCATTATACCTCATCATCATTATTGTTATCAGTGGTAGTTCTGTGTTCGTTCATGAGTCTCTGCTGTTCCCACATGTTAATCACTTTTATTGATCTATATTAGAAAAAACTGGATCTTTGTTCTCCAGCAGAAATTCAGTCCTAATGGAGACAAAAGCTGCTGCAGATATTAAAGATGATTTCTGAATATAGGAGTAAAATACAACAAATGATTCAGTTCAAAGTTACTCATCCAAACCTCTGAACACGCCCCGTCGTCTCTGTCTGAGCTAACTTGTTAGAGGAGCTAACTCGTCAGAGGAGCTAACTCGTCAGAGGAGCTAATTCAGAGGAGCTAACTCGTTAGAGGAGCTAACTCGTCAGAGGAGCTAATTCAGAGGAGCTAACTCGTCAGAGGAGCTAACTCGTCAGAGGAGCTAACTCGTTGAGGAGCGTCTCCTTCCTCGTGTTTCTGACACACAGGCAGCAGCAGCAGCAGCAGCATTTGTAGTTTGGTTGTTTACTCGTCTCTCTGCCCTGCAGAGCTGCAGAACCTCTGCGGGGTCATGGAGGTTGGAAACATGGAGCTCAGTGGCACAGTGTGAATACAGTGTTTTAATACACACACACACACACACACACACACACACACACACACACACACACACACACACACAGTGGCTGCTGTAAAAGTGTCCTTCAAAAGAGCAAAGCAGAGCCGGGCTCTTACAGCTGAATGGGTGCTGAGATCCTGGATGTCTGCACAAAAACAAACTCCCTTCAAGGGCAGAAACTCTTCAGAAGTCAGATTTGACCAAGTTTTATACATATTTGCACTTGGACTAATAATTCCTCATCCCTGTAAATCTGTGAAAGAGCAGTCTGAGGTGAGAGGAGACGCTGAAGGACACAGAAAACTCGAGCAGCATGTTTCACTCACCTGTAAAGACTCAAACTTCCTTCATTGAAGAGGGTTTCAGAAACACACTTCACCTTTAAACACCGACGCTCCTGTCCCTCCTGGAAGGATTCACAGATTCATAGATTCATGGATTCATAGATTCATGGATTCATGGATTCATAGATCCATAGATTCATGGATTCATAGATTCATAGATTCATAGATTCATGGATTCATAGATTCATAGATTCATAGATCCATAGATTCATGGATTCATAGATTCATAGATTCATAGATCCATGGATTCATGGATTCATAGATTCATAGATTCATAGATCCATAGATTCATGGATTCATAGATTCATGGATTCATAGATTCATAGATTCATAGATTCATAGATTCATGGATTCATAGATTCATGGATTCATGGATTCATAGATTCATAGATCCATGGATTCATGGATTCATAGATTCATAGATTCATAGATCCATAGATTCATGGATTCATAGATTCATAGATTCATAGATTCATAGATCCATAGATTCATGGATTCAAGATTCATAGATCCATAGATTCATGGATTCATAGATTCATAGATTCATGGATTCATAGATTCATAGATTCATAGATCCATAGATTCATGGATTCATAGATTCATAGATTCATGGATTCATAGATTCATAGATCCATAGATTCATGGATTCATAGATTCATAGATTCATAGATCCATAGATTCATGGATTCATAGATTCATGGATTCATAGATTCATAGATTCATAGATCCATAGATTCATAGATTCATGGATTCATAGATTCATAGATTCATAGATCCATAGATTCATAGATTCTTGGATTCATAGATTCATAGATTCATAGATCCATGGATTCATGGATTCATAGATTCATGGATTCATAGATTCATAGATTCATAGATTCATAGATTTATGGATTCATAGATTCATAGATTCATAGATTCATAGATTCATGGATTCATAGATCCATAGATTCATATATCCATAGATTCATGGATTCATAGATTCATAGATTCATAGATTCATAGATCCATAGATTCATAGATTCATAGATCCTGATCTTTTTAATAGAGGAGATGTTCGTTATGAACCTGACTCTAAACGAAGATTCGGGTGAGTCCATCCTCGTACCGTCTTCACTGTGAGCTTCTCAGGGTCACCAAATATTACTGTTTTTACTGAGTAAGGACTGAAGGCAGAAAACGGATTGATCGTTCTGTCTTTTTTTCCGACATCGGTCCAAACTAACAAAAGCAGCTCCTCAATAACTGAGATTGATGTTTTCTACCCTTGAAGCACTTTTTCCCGCCAGCTGAACCTCCTAATGATTATAAAACCGCGAGCTCGGCGGCTCTGTCGGCCGGCCCGGGTTAGTTTGACCTCTGCTCCGTCATTGTTCGGGTTTCTTTTTACTTCTTTGTTCGGCTTTGTGCCGATAATAAAGAAACACTTCAGCTAAAGCAAACAGCCTTCTGATGAGCACAGCACATCCTGTTCATCTATTCAACCGTGTCCAGATTAACCCTGGACGACCAGCAGCACCGCTCCTCCGCTCAGAGTTCAGAGGAAATGTGAAGTATTGTGTGTTTAATGAATATTCACTCAGGTCGTGTTTTTTTAAAATACCTCAAAAACACGAAACGCTCTCGAACATTTATCCTCACCAAAGAACGAACTCTCTTTGTCTCTTTTATTGGTATTTAGTGATTTAAATGGAGCAGGTTAGTAAACAGTTTGTTTTCATCACAGAGGAGGAGGACTCATCGAAAACCTCACAAACCTCCCGCCTCACATCAGACATCGTGAAAAGCAGCGGCGTGAGCTGAGGGGCGTGGTTTTAATAAACAGACTCAGAATACAAGAGTGCGACTAAGAGCTGAGCTAGGGGAGGAGCCAGTCCAGGGCTCGACAGTGTGACCGTTTCACTCACATTCAAGACTAAAAATAGACGTGTGCGAATCGTAAAATGTATTTAGGGTCACGTGTGCGCATGAAAAATCAACAAATGTTTTTTTCTGTAAATACGGCGGTGAAGTTAGTTTCAGGTTGGATATATTTTCCTGTAAATACGGCGGTGAAGTTAGTTTTAGGTTGGATATATTTTCCTGTAAATACGGCGGTGAAGTTAGTTTCAGGTTGGATATATTTTCATGTAAATACAGCGGTGAAGTTAGTTTCAGGTTGGATATATTTTCCTGTAAATACGGCGGTGAAGTTAGTTTTAGGTTGGATATATTTTCCTGTAAATACGGCGGTGAAGTTAGTTTCAGGTTGGATATATTTTCATGTAAATACGGCGGTGAAGTTAGTTTCAGGTTGGATATATTTTCCTGTAAATACGGCGGTGAAGTTAGTTTCAGGTTGGATATATTTTCCTGTAAATACGGCGGTGAAGTTAGTTTTAGGTTGGACATATTTTCATGTAAATACGGCGGTGAAGTTAGTTTCAGGTTGGATATATTTTCCTGTAAATACGGCGGTGAAGTTAGTTTCAGGTTGGATATATTTTCCTGTAAATACGGCGGTGAAGTTAGTTTTAGGTTGGATATATTTTCATGTAAATACGGCGGTGAAGTTAGTTTCAGGTTGGATATATTTTCCTGTAAATACGGCGGTGAAGTTAGTTTCAGGTTGGATATATTTTCCTGTAAATACGGCGGTGAAGTTAGTTTCAGGTTGGATATATTTTCCTGTAAATACGGCGGTGAAGTTAGTTTTAGGTTGGATATATTTTCCTGTAAATACGGCGGTGAAGTTAGTTTCAGGTTGGATATATTTTCCTGTAAATACGGCGGTGAAGTTAGTTTCAGGTTGGATATATTTTCCTGTAAATACGGCGGTGAAGTTAGTTTCAGGTTGGATATCTGACGGACATTCTCTGAGGATCTACCGGTGTCTTCTCACTCTCCATAACCGGGAATAACAACAGCAGCGCGGTTAAATCTACTCGACACCCTCACTGTCAACGTCGGTGTTGAATAAGGGACCGTCAATAAATTACCGGTTGATGTTCTCAGAAAAGGCTGTTTTCTAATTGACCTAAAATTGATTTCTAATAATAGTACTAAGGTCGATCAATAAGACAAACATTAGTGATCAGTTTTCATTGATCCCCTAAAGTTCTTTGTGCTCCTTACTTTTTTAACTCAGGAGAACATGTGAACAGAGTTTGAATCGATCCCTGACATCAGTTAATCAAACTTTATTTCTAAAGGTCGACCTACTCTGTCTCTAAACTGATGTTTCTAACCCCGAGTCTTTCAGCAAACACTGATATTATGAAGTTTTTAAAACCAAGCCTCATATCTTTCTTCTAAAAACAGAACATTAAGACTTTAATATCAACTTTAATTACTCAGAAACGAACGTTCACTAAAGTTAGACTGAATCACATTCATTAAATCTCGACTGAAACGTCTGAAGATTCGAAGACGTCGCTGAAATGCAAAGTTGTTAAATATTAAAGAAGTGGAAAGACTTTCTGTGAGCAGGAGGAGAAACTTTGAGGTCTTCTGAGGACGATTGTAAACGACAGCTGACAACGGGTAACTGTAAACGTCCATCTTGGTTTTCCGACTTGTTTTCTGGAACGCTGTCAACTGGGTTGTAGCGTCATTTTCAGCTCTGACATCTGACTTCCTCTGTAACTCAAACGCAGCGTTAAACCTGTGTGAGTCGGTGCAGAAAAACAGGTTAGTGTCCGACTCTTGGTTCCCCGACCTTTCACAGTGTAACTGAACTCTGGTTTTAACTCAGTAACAGCAGGACGGTTCCTGCGGCTGAAGCTCCGGGCAGGAAAGTGAAGTGAGTAAAATGAGGTTTGAGAGTGTGGGCCGACTCCTCCCAGGTTTAATCACTGTTGTGTATCGACAGTCTGTGGCAGAGAGAAAGCAGCGCAGATATATTCAGATGAAAATGTCACTGAGGCAAATAAAAAGACAAATTGGAAAGCGGGAAAAAATGGGAGAGCAGCGGCGCAGAAATAAACCATTAAGTATGAAAATAAATGACAGTAAATCAAAACCAGAATGGAGTGAAACAATCACCCTGAATACATTTCCTTCATGTTACCTCCTACATGATGATCGCAGCTGAAAGCCGGCGTGCATCACAGAGCATGAATTCATTTCCCCTCTTGTTCTACAAACGTGTGTGTGTGAGTGTGTGTGTAAGTGTGTGTTAATGTGTGTTAATGTGTGTGTGTGAGTGATGGCAGAATAAAGAAGGAGCCTCTGTCGTCGTCGTCGTGGTTCGTATTACTGCCTCCCTCCGAGTCTTTAAAGAGCACGTCTCTCCCCAGCTGCATGTTAATACAATCATTATTTGACTCTTTCTTCTGCTCTGACCTTCAGCTCTTTCTGCTCATCAGTTTTTTCTCCTCGGGGAGGAAATTGGCCACAAAACTAAAAAGCTTCTGGTCCGACAGCGAGCGGGTGAATCTGAGAGGAAATCTGAGAATTTCTCTGTTTTGGCAGCGAGGTGAACGACCCGCTGAATTATACATGCTAACAAGAAAACCCCGAGTGGGTCTGTGAGACGCTGAGACCGGCTCAGACACTAACGGACTGACTCTGGAGGCTGCTTATCGTAATCCCAGATACCAGGACTGTCATTATCCCCAGAGGAAATTCATCGGAGTAAAACTGAGTAAATCCAGAGAGGAGGACACGGATGAAGACTCCTGCTGGTGTTAAAGTGCTTCAGGATGTTGAGTCTGTATCCTAGCAACAGTATCATGGAGAATACATGTGAACAGGTGTAGTTATGGTATGAGTGAACTCCATCAGAACTTAATAAGGTGAAGATCAGCTGCTAACAGGTCGGTATCAGGACAACAGAGTGAAGAGTTCCTCCAGACCTCCTCCTTCTTCTTCTACTGTCTTTATCATCTCTGTCTGACCTTCTGAGAGTGAATCAGGAAGTTCTGATTGAACCAGGTCTCAGTAAAACTCAGGAAAGGGGGCCCACGGTGAGCTTTCTCAGTCTTCAGCTCAGCGTTTTTGTTGGGGAGAAGAATCGAAGTTTCCCATGATGGAAGGAGGAGTTTATATCTCCATTCCTAAACTTCAACTTTGTCCTCACCTTTACACCAGCACTGATGTTCTCTGGGATTGGATGTTCTTGTCCAACTCAATGAAAGAAGCTCTGTAGCCCTCCTTCACTCCGTTAATCTCAGGACTTTAATTACAGAATAAGGCGCTAAGAGGTCTGCTAATATTTTAACACAACAGTTTTCTTAGTTTCACCTCCAGTCTTCTTCTCTTGTTTCTCCACCCTGATTGGTTCAGAACACAGACAGTGACAGACTCCTCCCTCTTGATTGACGAAATCAGAGCGTTTACAATATTTGACAGCTGTTCGATGTTTCCACTCAGTTCACTGTGAGATTTGGTCGACTAAGATGTCGTCAAATGAAGCAACAACAACCTCTCTATGGAAAATAAGGACAACCCTAATATATAATCCATATGTTGATATCAGTGACAGGTCACCACATTATTTTTATTAACTAAGTCAGTTCTAGAGAGAAACATTGAGAGGTTCTTCCTGCATGATCACTTTTGTTGTGTTCAGAAATGTGCAGTTTGTGTGCAGATGTGAAGCTGGTTTTGGCGCCCTCTAGAGTTTCTCTTGTTAGCAGCTTCTATCTTTTCCATAAACTCCTGTGACACAGAGATAAGAGACCTGTTTGGGTTTTCACAGGTCTCACTCCTCAGACCCTGAAACCCTGAAGTTTGCTGATGTCGCTCCGTGTTTTCTGTGTGATGGTCGAGTTTGTCAGTCTAATAGCGACATCAGGATCAGTTTAATGTGTCAGAGCCTAAACCCTCCGTTAAAATCGCCCGTCCTTCCTGTTCTGCTGTTTCACTCCCTGCTCCTCTTTCACATGCAAATCGTCTCTTTCTTGCTGTTAAGATTTATGGTGACGTTAGATTGACCGCCGTGTCCTTGTGGAGCTCAGCTAAGTGCTGCTCTGTTAGCCGGACCCCGGAGATGACCCCCGTATGTCTGAGGAGGTGAAATGATATAAAAAAGGATCAAATTAAAGAGAATTCAAAGCTATCAGGCGGCAGATTAATTAGAAGGTAATAACCTTTAAAGATGAAGCAGACGTTTTCCCTCCGCTGTGAGGAGGACGAGGAGAATATCTGCGGCAGGTTTGACGTCTTTATCCTCAGAGATGAAGAGACGTGTCTCTGTCCTCCTGACCTTGTTGACTTTAATCCGTCCAACGGCACAGAAAATCCTCTGAGGACGGATCAGAAAGTTGGTCTGTCATTTAGAAATTTGCTCTGAGATTAAATGTTTTCAGTCTTTGACACACAGGAGGGAGAGGCCGGGACATAACCAAGCTTCTTTTTTCACCTCCTCTGCCTTTTGTTGGGCGCCATAATGGCTCTTTTAATTCATCTTTTAAGGCCTGTCAAGATGATTCTGAATTTAGATCTCATCCTGCAGCAGCAGCAGCCTGTGGTCTGCTGAAAACAGGACTGTATTTGGGGAAAGTTTTCCTCCTTTGGTTGCAGAGAAGAAAAGGATTGTAATGTTCTTCTTTTCACACCATCAGCTGCTGGAGTTGGACTCTATCTGTGTGAAACACACCGACTCATCCTCCGGCCATGTCAGCCTTCAACGCCCGACCTGGGAGGCCCTCCTCTCTGACTGAGAGTGTGAAGCTGCCTCCAAATCCAGAACTTTCCACCCCGAGTGTGTGTGTGTGTGCGTGCACGTGTGTGTGCGTGCGTGCGTGTGTGTGAATCGTCAGCAGACTCAGTGGGAGAGCGCGAATGTCTAAATAGCTTAAAATGAAGCGTAATATCCTGGAGGTGTGGACATTCCCGCAGAGACAGAAGGAAAGTTGAAGTTCAGATGAAGAAGAAGAGAGAAAACCTCGATCTTTGAAGAGCGATAAAAAAAAGAGAGAAAGTGACTGTGAACATTTTTAAAGCTTTAGGGACAAATTAAAACAGTTTCATTCCTCCGTGTCAGATTCCCTTCGTTCTTCTCAGATCTACAACATTTTTAAACTTCAGTGGGTTAAAGAAGAAAAACCTGAATCCTGTCGACCTCCGGTCTGAAGGTGGAGCTGTCCGAGGTTCTGAAAAACAGGACTACAGTGTTGGCTGTTTCAGTGTGTTTGGATGTGTCAGAGATCGTTGGATTTGCACTCGTTGGTGAGCGGACTGATGTTAAAGAAGGTTTCACGGACAGACCTGATCTTTCCTCTAAAATCAAAACGTTTTTTTTTTTTCACATCCCAACAAACTCATGAAGAAAAGCTCAGATTTGAACCCTCTGAATCAGCAGAATTAGGGAGGTAGGAGAAGCTTCCTGAGGGGACGTTTGTTTATACCTGCAGAAACACTCAGGACTGTAAACTAGTTCACTGTAAGACTTCATATTTATCTACATTTGTTGTTCTGTTGAGTTCAAATGTTTTTCTAATCTTATTAAATTGACTTTGTGTGTTAATCAAATCTTGAACTAATCTCAAGTTACTTCTGTTTTTACTACAGATGCTTTAAAAATGTTTGAAAAGATTGTTTTTAAATCGTGATAATAATCGAGACGATCCGACAAAATATGTCATGATCATTTTTCTGCCGAGTTGCCCGGGTCGAGTTCATCCTGTCTACGCTCCGTCTAAGTTTAATAAAAAGTCTTAAATCCTGTGAATATTCTCCTCCGCTGTAGTGAACATCACACACACACACGTATATATATATATTCTGATAATCATCTCATTAGTCGATCCAGCAGCTGTGATATGTTTCCCTTTGTTATGTGAGAAAATGAAACGTTTTCTCATCCTCAGAAGAACCTCTGATTACATCCACATCTGAATATTCACGTTTCATCATGAATATTACAACAAACAAGCCCGTGGAGACGTTTGAATATGGTTTTATAAATAAATTAACTTTTAACTCTCATAAACTGACTCCTCTCATTTATGCACAGTTATGCAGGATCCTCTGTGAGCCCCCGCAGAGACTCCTCGCCGCTTTCTCTCCGAGTTCTCATGCAATTCAAATAGTGAGACCTTCAGCCGCTCGCTCTCCAAACTTCCATCAAATATCCTGTAATCCTTGTCAATCTAAAGCCCTAATCCAGCAGGGCTGCCCTCTTTGATGCACTTTCTCTTAAATGTTGTTGTTGTTTTGGAGTTTCATCCTCTCATATCTGCAGGTCTGAGTTTTCAGGGTGAAGACACAAACATTTGATTTCCTGTGAAGTGATTTTTGATTTCTTCTAAAGCGGCGTCACGTGAAACGGTTCGACCCGGAGAGAACAGACATCAGCCGGGATGTCAAACAACAAAGAATTGCTTTTTGTTGTAATACTTTAGTAATCCATGGCATGCGGGATTAAAGGAAACAGGAGTTAAAGGAGCGCTGAGCTGTCAATAACCTCTGCCGAACCCGGGCCTTTTTTCTCATGCTTTCATGCATCTTTGTGTAAATCTCCCTGAGAATCATTATGATGATAAAAAGAGGATTTCACATGCATCATTCTGACTCAGTATCTGTCAGATCTGCTGTTTTATTCCCCGACGCGGCCTCATTGTGTACGTACGCTTCTGCTTTCATGGAGACGAACGGCGGCGGCGGCGGCTCTAATGAATTCATTTAGATGCTCATCAGTCTTTATTTCCATGCTTAATTGACCTATGGATTGATTAATATGAGGATTCATTAATGGAACAAAACAGGGCAGCACCTTTCCTCCGACTGTAAAGGACCTTCATAAAGCTTACCTTGCACATAAAGCTCAGCGTAAATGAATTAGTGGCCTTATGGGGCCTGTAATTATGACGAGGCAGCGCCGTTTTATCCAGAGGAGCTCGAATAAACGCCGACGGTTATCCAACAGACTCAGATAATACACAATCAAATACACACTCAAATACACAATAAAATACACACTCAAATACACAATAAAATACACACTCAAATACACACTCAAATACACAATAAAATACATAAGAAAATACACACTCAAATACACACTCAAATACACAATAAAATACACAATCAAATACACACAGAGACACAAAGAAACGGCTCTCGGCCATTTAGAGACAAGACCATGAATCAACAAATACACTTTAAACTAGGGCCCGATCGATTTATCGGCGAGTCGATTAAATCGGCCAATTTTAGCCTGTTTGAGACTAATCAGTAATCGGCCAAAATTCGCCGATTGTCGCCGATATTTTCAGAAATAAAATGCGGAGAATAAGATTCGGTTTCACTTCGAAAATGTTCTGCCATTTGAGAAGTTCCCCGACTTATCCTGTAGATGGCGCAGTGACCTCATGAAAACACTTTTCTAGTTTGATCAGTCGGTCTTCCTGTCGGCGTGAAGAGCAGTAGTCTACAGTCTGTCTACAGTCTGTCTACAGTCTGTCTACAGTATTAAATGTATATATTTTTATAACTTCATCAAAAATTAAAATAATCAGCCGATTCATCGGTAATCAGACCCCCCCCCCCACACACACACACACTAATTCATAGAAATAAGGCATAAAGTTAAAGCTCCTGTAAGGAACTTTAGGTCCAATTCTGTTACCCCCAGTCAAAACTCCTTATAGTATCTTTAATACCCTGACAGAATACAGCGGAGAGTTGGAGGATCCTGAATCAGTGATTCTCTGACTGACTGACGGACTTTGAGCATAATTCACTTTTTAAATTCAGTTTGTCGACTGTGAATAAATCTTACACTGTCTCTTAAATATTTCCAACAAACAGACCAGATTCCTCCACATTAGCTGACGGCTAACTCCAACAGGCTCATAAAAACTTCAGCAGCAGCAGCTTCTCTGATCGTTTTAAAGTTCACTCTTGGATCATGGAGAAAGAGTTCAGACGGTTTCAGCACGAACTTCTCTGAGCTCTGACGACCATGATGTTTTTTTCTCATCTCCACTTTTTTCAGGTTAAACTCCTGCTCCTATAAACCGTTCCTGCTGAGGCCTTCATGATGTGAGCGGTTAAAAGAAAGTGACTTTTTCAGGCAGAAGGAAACGATGGACTCTTTGATAGAAAGCTGACTTTTATTCGACTGTTTAATGAAATATTCTGGAGCTCTAAATGAAGTGATTGGGACCGAATGAAAGGATTATTCCTCTGATTAAAAGGCTTCTGCTGTTTAAAGATTGGACTCATCACTTCTGAGTGATGGTGTGAGTCTCTGCTCAGAGTTGTCTTTAATGCAGTTTTTCTGAACGTGTGTCTGCTCGGTCGTCCTCTAAAGATTGATGGTTATATTAAAGAGACCGTCTCTGTGCAGATAGACTTCAGACATGACTCACACTCACACTGGGTTGTAAACGTGTACATGTGCGTACACCTTCCTCTGCAGTCTCCATTAGCCTTTTCATTATTTTCCTCCCGTTTCCATCTGCTCACCTGTGAAATACTCATCCTTGATAAATCTGAAATGCCATCGAGCATTTCGCCGATCTTCAAGGATGCTGACTTCCTGTTGGGATCTTCACAGGCGGTATTGTAAAAAAAAACTCAGATACATCCTTTAAGTAACATCCACGTGAATCAAAGCCCACATGCTGGGCCTGGATCCTTGGGTATTCAGGACCACGAGATCCACCTGGAATACTCTCATCCTGCAGTTCTTTGATTCTGAAGCTTCACAGTATGAAACCAGATTATAACAGCAGCGTCCGTGAAAGCACATGTTCGTATTTCTAATGAACATGAGGAGGTTTAGTAACGACGACGATGTAGAGCTGACTTATATAATCAAACAGACACGACAAGAACTGTGAGATTATTACAGGAGGGAGGAGAAGACATGAACAAGACTGAGGTTAGAGGAACAGAGAGGAAGATAGACATGGAGATGGATGGATGGAGAAGTGTAAGGATTGATAGGCAGTCAGATGGATGGACAGATGTTGGATAGATGGATGGATGAATATATGGAAATATGGAAAATGAATGGGTGGACAGATGTCAGTGAGATGGATGTTGAATGAATGGATGTTGGATGAAGAGATGGATGGATGGATGGATGGATGGAAAGAGAAAATTAATGGGTGGATAGATGTTGGATGGATGAATGCACGGATGTTGAATAAATATTGATTGAATGGATGGATAGATGTTGGATGGAGAGATGGATTATAGTTGGATGTTGGATGGATGGACAGATGTTGGATAAATGGATAGATGGATGTTGGATGGATTGACTGATGGGCGGATGTTGGATGGATGTATGGATGTACTGATGGATTTTGGATGGATGGATGTTGGATATTTAGATGATGGATGGATGATGGATGGACAGATGATGGATGGATGGATGTTAGATAAATGTATGGATAATGGATGGATGTCAGATGGTTGGATGTTGGATGGAATCGATGGATAATTTTTTAGCATCCCTGCATCCTGTCATTCTTAAACCACCTGACCTCTGACACATAAAGCCACACCCCCTGAAGTTAACCTTCATGTTAATCTGAGTCCTTCATAAATGTTCATTGAGACCCTCAAGTTAAAACTCAAATACAGATTCTTCATGAGAACAAGATCTTCTCAGATCCACCATCAGTTCATTAGTCTGGAGATGGTTCTGATCCACCACAGTCCTGTTTTCAGGACCACAGCAGGGTCATCAGAGACCTTCTGAAGGGGGCAGGACTCTGTTGTGGTTCAGGTCTTTGCAGGGTCATCAGAGACCTTCTGAAGGGGGCAGGACTCTGTTGTGGTTTAGGTCTGTGCAGGGTCATCAGAGACCTTCTGAAGGGAGCAGGACTCTGTTGTGGTTCAGGTCTGTGCAGGGTCATCAGAGACCTTCTGAAGGGAGCAGGACTCTGTTGTGGTTTAGGTCTGTGCAGGGTCATCAGAGACCTTCTGAAGGGGGCAGGACTCTGTTATGGTTCAGGTCTGTGGTGTGGAGGGTGAAGAGGAGACAGCTGACCTGGGTTCAGACTGACCTCCCTTCAAACACGTTTAGATAAAGGTTGACTAAACTCTTTGACTGACTGACTTTATGAAACAGTCGGTCAGATTCAGCCTCCTAATCTGATTGGACGAGAGTCATTTCACAAGTGCTGATATTTGGAGGATTATCTTGGTGACGTTGTGGTGGACTTTGTCGCCGTGTCCCAGCCAGATGTCCTGACTGTGAAACTTTAATATGTGACATTAAATCCTTGTGTAATGGTAAAGATTATTTTTTAAGGATGAGTATAAAAAATAAAGAAGCTCAGCAGAAATGATTAAAGTTACAAAACCTCCGGACCAATCTGCAGGAAGAGGGTCACTGACATTCACCTCAGATGTGGGAGGTCATAGAAAAACAGGCCATGTTCATGACTTTTAGAGGAACAGGAGGGGCTGATCTGTCCACAGGGGGCGCCAAAATCAACACAAACAAAAAAGTTCCTCAGTGGAGCTTTAACTATAAAAACAATCGTCTTTATTTTTAGAATAAAAACAAACAAAAACACATAAAATCGATCACTCTGCTTCATAAAACCATGACTCACTGTGAGGGTCTTTTTTGACCCGTCAGCACTATCACCTCCTCCTCCTCCTCCTCCTCCTCCTCCTAACCAGGAAATTACCCCTGTCAGCACCCTGACGGCAGCCTGCTGGATTCGGAGGCGAAGGATCAAAGATGCTCGGGGCCCCGGCACACGGCCAGCGGGCCCCATTATCAGAAATTCTCTCGCCTTTCTCCGGCCTTCAAAGAACCTGTCTGATCGGATCCTTCCGCTCCGCCCGTCCTAACAGATGTGACGGGGCACAAAAGCTTCAAACGGGGAAAAGCGGGGAGTATGGAGGGCATAAAGGGGCGGCGCCGCTCTTTAAAGGAGGCTGAAACGTAAATAATAGATGGGAAATATGGCAGAGCTCTGTGTTTGTGTAACCGCCTCTCTGTGTTTGAGTTTGATCGTCTGACGCACGACTGCTCCAATCTTTGTCGACGGGACTTTTAAACGAAGCTCTCGGCGTCGATGTCATGTTGTTCTGTTAACCACGACTTTTCCCTTTTCTTCATCCAATCAGCTTCTGCGGCGGCGCTCCGCCCGTCTCTGGACTTTAAAAACCAACCTGACAAACAGGGATGCTCTGATCGGGATTTTGGGGATCTGATATTTCTGATCACCGATCACAGCGTCAAAAACAGGAATTGAATTATTTCATTTATTGTGCAACAAGTTTTAAAATAGAAGAGAAAGTTTTATGAATTAAAAACAATCTTTATTATTACAGAGAATCTGGAACATTTCACTCTCGATGCTGTAATGACCGTCTTAGAGAGACAACTCCAAGTTTACATCAACTGTATAATTATAAATTAATTAAATATTTTTCATAAGTGCAACATTTCATTCATTAAAGGCTCCTGAACGTGGAGTTTAAACTTTAGTTTTCCTTTGGAGATATAATAACCTGAACTGCCACAAACAGGCAAAATATAAAATACAGTTTAAAGTCATTAAAAGTGTCTGACTGTTCGGCTGCTGTTGTTTCAGTTTACTGCTTACAGTCGGCTGGGCGAGCGGCGGAACGGTGACGCCATTTTCTCTGGAGTCAAACTTGAAGAGACAGAGGGCGAGATAAAAACCACATGACCATAACAGAGCGAGACAGCCAATCACAAGCTTCCTTTTTTATGACCGGAAGAAGAATGATTTCTTTCTTTCCGTGACCTAAAGTCTAAAATCATCTTTATATTAAAACGTTTATCCCCATTCAAACATAGATATGTTTATTTATACCTGATGGTCATTTTAACGGATTTTAACCGTTTTTTTTTTCATGTCATTGATCAAGATTGTTAGATCAGTCATTTTGATAACTCTAATCAAAAATGATCAGAGGCATATATCGGCAGATCTAGATCAGCGCCAATCAGATCGGAGCACGCAGACTGACAAAGATCATCTTATCTGAGTTTCTCATCCTGCCGTCGACAGGACGCTTTAAAGCGTGATGAGAGAGCGCACAGATCCGAGCGTTGGGAGAGAAGAAGAAGAAAACTTCATTAATGAGACGCTGAAATCTTTTTCAGAAGCTCAAACAGAAGCTCCTGTTCGGTTCAGACAGTCTGAGATCTGACTGATCTGAGAACTTCTCCACCTGACAGGAACCAGAAAAACACAGACCCCGTCAGCTCTGACGATGTAAAACTCAGAACATCTTCAGCTGAACGTGAAGCTCCGCCTGAAAATGAGAAGAGAATGAAAATCAATCCAACGCTGGCGCCGGCCCTGAACACATCATCAACGGGATCTGATGAGTCACAGCGTGACAGAAAAGTGCTGAGCAATCATTCACACTGCAGTGGACTGGACCAGAACACGCCCCGATGAAAGCAGTACCACCACCGTTCAGCCAGAACCAGAACCAGAACCAGAACCAGCGTGGATTAAGGTCACGGACACGGCTGACTGTCCTCTGATTGGAGCAGAGGTGGAGAGCGTGGAGGTTTATCCAATTATACATGCAGACCTTCTGTGGTGGAACCTCGGAGAGCAGACGGAGGGCGGCGGGAAGAAAAGAGACACACGGGGGAAATAACTTCACCAGGTACTGATAAGGTATCATCCTGCTGCATTGTGGGAAGTTTTCAAACTATTTTACTTTGTACAAGTCAGAGAAGAGGAGGAGGAGGAGGAGGAGGTGGAGGAGGAGGAGAAGGAGGAGGAGGAGGAGGAAAGAGGAGGTGGAGGAGGAGGAGGAAGAGGAGAGAGAGGAGGAGGAGGAGGAGAAGGAGGAGGAGGAGGAGGAGGAGAAGGAGGAGGAGGAGGACGTGTTAGAAAAGGTGAGACTTCAGATGGAGTTCGTCCCTCAGGAGAAGATCCTCTGAAGGACAGGAGGACGGTCAGAGGAGGGAGGGACGACCCCCGACAGAGGAAACTGAGTCAGGGTTCATCCTCTGGAGGACAGGAGTATTCTTTACAGAAATCCTTCTCTTCTCTCTGAACCTTCAGTGTCTCCAGACCAGTAGGTGGCGACGATCAAACAGCAAACAGCTGAAGGTAACAGGGTCAAACCAAAGAGCTAGTCCAGGCAGGTCCATCAGCTGATCCTGGTTCTAGTCCAGTATCAGCCCCTTCTTTCACGCTGAGTCTCTGTTCTGGGTTTCTGCTGCTGCTCCCCCTGCTGGGGGGTCTTTGGTATTTCATTAAAGATCTGTGCTGGTTCGAAGCAGGATCCTGGTCCTGGTCCTGGTCCTGGTCCTGGTCCTGTCTGCAGATAAAACCTGCTCTTGAACTTCCATCATATACAATCCAACTTGTGTCTAAATTCAACGCGTCACGTTGACTGTTGCCATAGTAACGGGTAGTAAACAGGGCGAGCTGACTGCTGCTGTCTGATAAATATGAGTGACATTGATAACAGACGTTTATATCTGAGTCTAATGATGGTGATCAGAGAAGACCACGCCCCCTCAGGTCTCACTGGTGATTCGTTTATAATCACAAGAACATGAGGAGACGAGTTCAGAGTTCAGAGTTCAGAGTTCAGAGTTCAGAGTTCAGAGTTCATGTTTTAATGTCATGAATCCTCCCTAAAATCGAACCCTCACGTCTCCTCAGAGCGTCTGTCTGCAGCAGTTACAGAAACTCTCCTCCATGTTTGAGAATGATCAGATGAGGACGCTCAGACGGACGGGGTCTGAAATCCTTTTGGGCTTCATAGAAACCTGCAGATCAGTGAGTGAGTCAGTACTACCTGAGTGTCTGAGATGTTCTCCTTCCTGCCCGCCTCTGATCGGCGTCTCTGCCGCTCAGCTAATTATTATGACAGAGCACGGCCCATCCCCGCCGCCGCCGCCGCGTTGATTTAATTACTCTGGACCATGCGTTTACTTCAGATTCAGAGATGATAAAAGACGTGCGTCCTGTGGGTAAACACTAATCATCTCAAGTGTAGTGACGTGAAGGTCATGTCGCCTTCAGCCTCGGCTTCAGCAACAATTATTATCAGAGATTCAGCTCCTGTACGAAGACTTCCTCTGATACAGCAGGATAATAAAACACAGACGCAGACGGAGAAGGAGGTGAATCCAGAGGGCAGCAGCCATCTTTAATGCATTCAGAGACGAGAGGAGCTGATTGGACCTGAGCAGAGAGCAGGTGGACTCCTGCTGTGAAGGAGCTTCATCGTGTCTCCTCAGGGTGCGTTAGTTTTGGAGAGGAGACTCCAGGGATGGACGCAGTTCTGTCGGAGGTGGGAGTGGTCCTCAGTTAGAAAAAGGTAGATCACCTTCTCCAGGTCGGAGGGGCGGTCCTGCCTCAAGTGGAGGAGTTCAAGTATCTCAGGATCTTGTTCAGGAGTGAGGGTAGGATGGAGCGAGAGATCGACAGGCGGATCGGAGCGGCGTCAGCAGTGATGCGGACGATTAACCGATCAGTGGTGGTGAAGAAAGAGCTGAGCCGTAAGGAGAGACTCTGGATTTACCGGTCGATCTACGTGCCGATCCTCACCTATGGTCATGAACTTTGGGTAATGACCGAAAGAACAAGATCGCAGATACAAGCGGCTGAAATGGGTTTCCTCCTCAGGGTGTCCGGGCTCAGCCTTAGAGATAGGGTAAGGAGCTCGGACACTCGGGAGGCGCTCAGAGGAGAACCGCTGCTCCTCCACGTCCAGAGGAGTCAGCTGAGGTGTTAGGACGCCTTCTGGACGCCTCCCGTTAGAGGTGTTCCAGACATGTCCCACCGGGAGGAGATCCCAGGCGCTCCCAGGACCAGGTGGAGGGATTATATCTCTCACCTGGCCTGGGAGCGCCTGGGAATCCCCCCTAAAGGAGGAGGAGCTGGTGGACGTGGCCGGGGTGAGTGCCGTCTGGGCTTCCCTCCTGAAGCTGCTGCCTCCGTGACCCGGACCAGGATGAAGCGGAAGAAAACGACGAAGAAAACGACGAAGAAAGCGAAGACTCCAGGGATGGTTGAGGGGTTGTTTTTCGACCCGGTCTGTGAGGTTTGAGGTCTTCTTTGTCCAGCCCCCTCACTGTAGAGGTGATAGAAGACTCATGTGTGGATGATGAAGACATCTGCAGATGTTAGCGTTTTTCTCTGTGCAGCACGTTTGGCCCTGAAGAGCGAGTGTTGGGGTTATTCCTCTGCATTCAAAGACTCATTTGCATTTATATAAACACAGATATGGATGTGTGCGTTAATGCATGTGAAGAAGCATGAGACATTTACATAACACGTGTTACGTGGGCTGATGATGAAGTCATTGATCAATTATTCAGCTGTTTGAGGTTTGGGCTTTAAAAAACCGTCTGTCCCAGTAAAAACGCCCACGCCCATCCTCACTGCACCAAACAAACAAACAAACAAACAAACAAACCCCACCCACCCACTCACTCCTCGCTGACTCTGAGTGAGCTGGGAGAAGAAGAAGAAGCTGACCACAGAAAACCACGTTTACAGATGATGGACCCTGAGTTTCTTCTCCATGTCCTCGTGTCTGCTGCAGGCTGCCGTAGGTCGAGTGGATGAGGAGAGAGGAACATAAAGAAGTGTTGTTGCTCCTGTGACCTCTCCTCAGTATGTAGAGAGGATGTCTGAGGATGTGCATAATGTAGAACTACATTTACAACACTCTGAACAGACCTGCTCTCAGAGACGACCACCTGATCTCCTCTCTGTTCACCGCCGCGTCCTTCCTCATGTCGTCTCTTCATGTCCATCTTTCTCACTCAGGGACGAAACAGAATCAGGAGTCAGTGTTTGAAAAGGAGAGTGGGCTCAATTTTCGTGCCCGCCAGCGGCAAGGTGGAGGGTGACGCACAGTGACATTTTTGTGCTTGGGCGTGGAAAGTGCGCTGAAAGCTCGCCGATTCAAACCTGGTCAGCTGTTGGCGAGAGGGAGCGCCGCACCAGACCAGCGGCGTAGTGCACATACGTCACCGATGTCTCACTGGGAGGTTTCCACCGTGTCAAACACATTTCAGAGAGTTTCCTTGCTTATATTCGGAGAAGGCAAGCGCTAAAATAACTTTATAAAAATAACTTTATAAAAATAACTCGGGTGTGACGTCATTTTCATCGTGGTCATCTGAGGTCACTCGGGTGCAGCATGTCTTTAGATCAGCTCCAGGACCAGGTTTTTGAGAGCTCTGTCTTATTTCTCAAAACTCTTCTGGAAGTAGGACAGGGTTTATAGTTTGGAGTATCTATATATCGTTCAGGTCCTGTCCTGTGGAGTCCCTCTGGGTTCAGTCCTGGGTCCTCTGTGCTTTCTGCTCCTACCTTCGATTTATATGCAGACGACCTACCGCTCTACGTCTCTGTAACCTGACGGTGTCTAGAAACTCAAGGTGTGGTCCTGAAGTCATCTACCTGTGAGCAGATGGAGTTGTTCACGTTCTCATGGTGGAGGAGGTGTGTTTCTGTATCGTCCAGTTTCTCCGATCTAAAAGGACGATCTCATCGGCCTCTTCTGCTCCAGAGAGTTCGGACTCCAAGGTCGAGCAAATGAATTTAAGAGTCTGTGTGTGTTTAGCTGCAGCTTTTCTCTGCTCCATTTACTAGATTGAATGAGGCATCAGTGTGGGTTTGGCAGCTGACACGAGTGTGTGTGTGTGTGTGTGTGAGTGTGTGCGTGTGTGTGTGAGACAGAGAGAACATGATCATCCTGTATTTGTTGCAGAGTAATACCTTGCACTTTGATAGGATTGCGAACTCTGCGTGAAGATTTACTCAAGTTTGTAAAATCCGGAGACTTTTACTAATTTGTCGTATCACTCAGGAAGGAGGAAGCTTAGCCGCTCGACTTTCTGATGTGGCGAATTAACGCCACGGCGCCTTCTTACTGCGTGTGAAAACTCCCAAATCGATGGTAATCCAGGAGAAAAGCCCAGAAAGTGGGGATGAGCGGGAATTCATGCAGGAAATGTGGGTGTAAAAGATTGAGCAGAGACAAACGTGTTCCTGTGCAGAGTTTGAGGAGGACGGAGTTCAGTATTCAGAATAATGTGGGTGTTTGTGAGGGTTTGGACTCAAAGTGTGTCTGGAGATTCCTCAAGGGGAACTTCTCATAAAACCACAGTCAGCTAATGATGGTGAGGGGAGAACAGATGCTCTCACATATGTTGGAGCAGAGGCACTCACTCCTTCATAATGCAGTCCTAACACTAACTCACACTGCAGTGTTGCTCCTGTTATATTAGTCTAACGAGACTCCACTAAGACCTGGACCGGATTTAAATGATGCTTCTGCTGATTTCTTTGTGCATGACATGAATCCAAATTATATTTCCTATAGGATAGCACAATAACATCCTGAGATCTGTCGAGAGTCAGGAAAAGCCAAAACAAGAGTGACTCTGTCTGAGTTCTGCACATGTCCTGAAAACTCGGTCTTCTTCCTGTGAGAGTTCTGCACATGCTCCAGAGTTTGCACGCTCACCTTTGACCCAGAAGTATAAATATGCTGTAGGAAACCAAGACAGTAGGGGTGGGAGAAAAAATCGATTCACATTAGTATCAGGATTTTTTAAATTTTAATTTATTTATTTATTTTTTTTTATTTAAGAAAAAATCTTAAAAACTGATTTACATTTGATGTGTATTTTTGGGGAAATCTGGTTCCTGGAATAGTCAGTAGACAGTCATAATCATTCAACTGTTTCACTGGAGTTAAAAATGCAGAATAAATATTGAGAAAATCGACAATATCGTAGAATCACAACTTTAATTGAATCGGCATCCAAAAGATCGTAAAAGAATTGAATCCGGAGAAAAGCATGTCGTTGCAGCCCTACGGGACAGTCAACAAAACCCGGTCAGAAAACTAACGGACCTTAACAAGATGAAGCTGTCATATCATATTTACTATAGCCTCATGCTAACGCACCTGTCAGCTGTTACGTAATGTAGTGGATAGGGCTGTCCTGGTACGATATTAGTATTGGATATTGGTTCGATATCAGCCAAAAAACAAATATCGGATTAACCGATATCGGCACTCCGATACATGCAGTCTATTCCAGACTCCACTCCAGCGCCCGGATCTAGCATGTAGAGTCCACCTGATCACAACAACAGTGTGTACTAAGGTACGAACAAAGTTACTGAGGAGTTGAAGAGATGTCGGCCGCGTGGAAGTATTTTTCGTTAAAGTCCGAAAAAGACGTTGCAGCTGAGTGAAAAACTTGTCATTCACAAGTTTGTGCCAATATCGAATCAATATCGGTATCAGCCAATACTGAAGGCTTGTATTGAAGGTAGAAAAGTTGTATTGGGACACCCCTAGAAGTGGACGAAGGAGTGTAAGTGAGCTGAGAGGGGGCGTGTCTCCGTCGACCACAGACCGGTTTTCCTCAATAATCTATAATCTTGTAAACAGAGACAAAAACAGTCAAACTGATCGATAATCGTCTCTCAGCTGAATCCTGAACATACCAACAGTAGAGGAGAACTTTGTTGTCAGCTCGTCTGTCTTTGTCTTCTTCAGATGTTTCCTCTTTGTCGTCCCACAGCGATCGTGAACCTCTGATAAATTTCTTGAGAATGAAGCCGATGCTGAAGAGTTTATCCAGGACACATGAAATCGATCAGTGATCCTCCTCAGATCCAGAAGGATCTGTGAGTGAACCTGAACAGACCTGCAGCAGGTCTGCAGACCCACAGACTCCACCTGTGTTGACGTCTTCTGGTCTTTGGCTGATCCTGCAGTGTGGGTCTAATCGTAGCAGCAGACGTGATCCAGCCCTTTTCTGAGGAGGCTCTAATTTGAGCAGCCTGACTCACTCTCACTCATGTATTTATAAAAGTGGGTTAATTGTAGACCTAATTACTAATGATGAAATCGGTCCAGGGAATAAAAAGATTAGTTTTGACGTCCCAGGAACATCAGGAGCTTATGGATGTTAATTGTCAGCGACTAAGACTCTGATTTCTTCAGGGTTTCACTAAAAACCACGATGAGGTTTCTGAGGTTCAGGAGGAACAGAGAGTCCAGGTCTCTGCAGGACTGACGGACGGACGGCTGCAGACCTCAGAGGCTCGGTGACGGTTCAGAGAAACTTACAGGTGTGAACCTTCATACCTGCTGAATCGTCTCTGTCTATCATCCAATCACGATCATCCAATCTCCTCTGGCGTCATCAATAAGGCGACCGCTTCAACCTTTTCACCGTCTTAACTCGCCTCTGTCTTGCACCAGTCCTCGCCCTCCAGGCCCCGCCCCGCTCGCTCGCCCTGCCCCGTTATCTGGGCTGACCTCAGTACCATCCCATCTCGTCAGGCTCACGTCTCGACGGCCATGGGAATGACGCCGCCGCCCTGAACGCTGCAGGTCAGACATTGAGCTCCTGCAGAGGCGGAGAATCACAGAGATGAAGAGATGGTGTAATCCAGGGCTGATGGGATTTTTTAGAGAGACTCAGATTGACGAGGATTGCTCTCTATCCGTCCTCGTCATCATCCTCAGATTCGGGGTTTTCAGACCCCGCTGTCCCCGCCGGCGACTCGCTCTCTGTGAAAAACCACCAAACTGACATATTTGGAGGTTTTAGAGAGAAGATCAGCTCGGGTTTCTGCGTCTGTCTGTCGTCGTTCTGATCTGTTCGGAACGATGCGATGGCTGTAACAGGATGAACCTTTCCTTCTGACAAACACACTGAAGGTCTCCAACACGTTCATGGAGAGAGACATGAAGAAGAAGAAGGAGGAGAAGAAGAGGAAGGAGAAGAAGAAGAAGAAGGAGAAGAAGAAGATCTGTGCTCTGTCCAAACCACCACTTAGGAGAAGACATGGCGGCTCCTTCAGTGGCGTTCAGTCAAGTTTGTTATGGCTGTGATGGTTCTGGTTTTTGGAACAGTCCGGTCTTCTTCTGTCCATCTGTGTAGATCCAAGAAGGTGAATTCATGAGTTTGTAGGTCGTCTGGAGAAACACCTCAGCTGCTGCAGTTTTATTAAAGGGGAACTTCATGAATTTAATTGGCTGGTTGATTAGTTAATCTTTGGGGGGGGGTCTCTGGAGCTTCCTGTTTGTCGGATCTGCAGCTTCAGAAAAATGAGCGTCTTTAAACTCAGCGTGGCACCGGCAGATTACATGAAGGCAGCAGATGTTAGCAGACGGAGATGTGTTGGACTGATGAAAGAAACACGAGTCCAAAACCGTGTTCAGAGTTTTACCCTCAAATATAAAAAAATACAGAGAGTGAGGGGCTGATGTGTTTGTTTATTATAGAGAGACAGGAAACTGATCCTCCACCATCAGAGGATGAAATCTGACAACAATAATCAGGGTTTTTAACCGCCTTAAATCAAGTTTTTTAACGATAAATCCATGTTTTTAATCAAATGTTGGACTGATGAAAGAAACACGAGTCCAAACCGTGTTCAGAGTTTTACCCTCAAATATTAAAATACAGAGAGTGAGGGGCTGATGTGTTTGTTTATCATAGAGAGACAGGAAACTGATCCTCCACGATCAGAGGATGAAACCTGACAACAATAATCAGGGTTTTTAACCGCCTTAAATCCAGGTTTTTAACGATAAATCGATGTTTTTAATCAAATGTTGGACTGATGAATGAAACATGAGTCCAAACTGAGTTCAGAATTTTCCCCTGAAATATTAAAAAAACAGAGTGAGGGACTGATCTGTTTGTTTATTCAGTTTAGAGACGGGAAACTGCAGCAGACCCCCCAGATCAGAGATTATTAACCACCTTAAATTGAGTTTTTAACAACCCTAAATCCAGGAGTAAACGACCTTAAATCCACATTTTTAAAAACCCTTAATCCAGGTTTATTTACCACCTTAAATCCAGTTTTTTAACTACCTTAAATTCAGGTTTATTAATTACCTTTATTCTGAGTTATTAACAACCTAAAAACCAGGTTTTCAACCACCTTAAATTCAGGTTTTTAACAACTGCTAAATCAAGATTATTTACCACCTTAAATCTGGGTTATTAACAATCTTAAATCCAGGTTTTTAACCACTGTAATTCCAGGTTTTAATCAACTTAAATCCAGGTTGTTAACAACCTTAAATTCAGGTTATTAACCACTTTTAATCCAGGTTTTTAATTACCTTAAATCCAGGTTCTTGAAAGCAGCTTATTCATTCTAAGTCCTTTTTAAACCAGTTTAAGTCAGAACAGGACCAGTGCAGAGATTTCAGACCTGAACCTGATCAGCGGTGGAGTCTTGAATGAGCTTCAGTTTTTGTGATAAACCGGTTTAAAGGGAGTCCCAGAGACTGAAAACCGTCTTTAAAATACACAAGAGGATACAGTTCTACTGCATATAGATCTATATTTTCACAGCTCTACATTTCTACAGTCCTACTGCATATAGATCTATATTATCTATATCTGTATTTGTGTTTCGGTGGTTTTTCCTCCTAAAGGGACCAAAATAAAAGGTTTGAAGTGTGAAAAGAAGCTCCTCTCCTCCTCTCCTCCTCTCCTCCTCTCCTCCTCCTCCTCTCCTCCTCTCCTCCTCCTCTCCTCCACTCCTCCTCTCCTCCACTCCTCTCCTCCTCTCCTCCTCCTCCTCTCCTCCTCACCTCCTCTCCTCCTCTCCTCCTCTCCTCCTCTCCTCCTCTCCTCCTCTCCTCTCCTCCTCTCCTCCTCTCCTCCTCCTCCTCTCCTCCACTCCTCCTCTCCTCCTCTCTCTCCACACTAACAGGTGGCTGTTTCTCTTGTAAATTTGACATTTATTCTTGTTTGGCTTCTCGCTGCCTCTTCACATGACATCAGGGAAATCAAGTCCGCTAAATTCACACGCTCACACTCACGCTCACGCCGCCCGCAAAGCTCAACCCGCCGCAACTGCAAATAAACAAAAGCGAGTGATTTCGCAGCAGCTCGACTTTAATTGGCCGACCTCGTGTTTCCAGGCGCTACTTTTCTCATTTGACCTGGCAGCAGAGCTCACAGAGAGGGGGGCGTTAATAGACCCGAGTATGGCGGTAACATATTACAACTGCAGCGGTGGTGGCGGTGGCGGTGGTCTCCAGCAGCTGCTGGCTTGGCGCGGCGTGATGAAGAAAGATTGCCAATGCTCTCAATCCTTGAAGAATGGAACTGGAGATGGCGGGATATCCGTCCAGCCTGCGGCCAATCGACTGGTGTGTAACGACCCCGCGTGACTGACGGTGAAAAAACGCCGTTCTATGAAGTGAACTGTGGGTGAGGCGCCCCTTTAATCAGGCCCAGCTCAGATCTCAGATCAGCTCACCTTCAGTCAGCAGCCATGTTTTTGAAATCTGAAGCTCCCCGTCTTTGAGCTGAGATGACAAACACACTCTCTCAACGTCAAAGCCCCCAGGGACGCATTAATCAATGAGCATTATCCCCAAATCACATTAATGCCTCTAACTTACAGCAGCCCACCAGTGTAATCTTTCACTGCGGCTGCTTGTCATCTGTGCAGGAGAAACGCTCCGACACACCCGGACACTTCCCTCCCTCCTCTTGAACCCAAACCAAACAGAAAGTGTTTGAGTTAGGGGACATTAATTAGCTGCTGTCCGCCCGCTGAAGACGTGTCAGCCTCATTTACATACATCTCCTTCTGCGTCACATCTCGGGCCACGACTAATTCAGGCGGAGTGGACGGCCCACCCTGATGAAAGTGATTCAGCTGGCCGTGACACACAAGTCTGCTCGCTTTCATGTGCAAATCTACGAGCAGGCGTCTCCGCCAACAGCAGCAGCCAGACTCAGGTCGGACTTCTGTGAGTCCTGATGGAATCTGTTCAGTCAGGAGAGGAGGGTCTGAATCTGTACGTCTTTAATCTGCTGTTTGCTTTTAGTCCCGGACATTTAATGGAAGAGTTTCTGTTTTAATTTCATATGCAGCCTCAGAGCTTCAGGGTCGACTTAGTCTGGTCTCAGGTCTGTCTGAGTGTAAACCCAGCTGAGGTCAGAAACACCAGACTGTAAAAGTCCAGATTTGGGTGATGGAATGAAGGGCTGGACAGACGGACTCAAAATACAAACGGACGACTTCACATCAAATCACAGTTTTTACATTTGAGTTACTGTTCCTGCTGCTTTCTGTAGACATCGATGTTTGATATCACACAAGCAAAACCACTCATTTAAAGTGACCTTTGACTGTTGAGTAGGGCTGGGCGATACGGGAAAAAGTTTATCACGATATATTATTTTCATATCAGTGGATATCGATCAATATCAGGATACAAAAAAATGTTTTTTTTTTCACGTTTTGTCGTAAGGCGTCGCTCTAGAGAAAGCCGACTGAATGGTCGTCTGTTTCAGCTCCTCGCTCCTCTCGGGGTTTGTAACCTTTGGCGTTGCGCGTGCTCTGCGGCGAGGCGCTGCTTCAGGTGGTGAAAAAGATTTGAGGTATTCCCCGACTTTGTGAGAACATGTACTCGACATAATTTACAGTCCACATTACTCTGCTTCATGTCCGACCTCCAAAAACCAAAATACCTCCACACCACCGACGTTTTCCTAACGCCAGTGTTGTGGTTGACATTGATGTGGTCATCTGTTGAGCCTTCATGGTCATTTCTGTCGGGGGTAGCACTCATTTTCTTTGTTTCTCACCAACAGTGCTGTCGGCTTCACCTGTTAAAGTGCTATGGTTGGGTGAAGCTGCTGTCTGCTACGACGCTGCAGTTGGTTGATACTTGGTTCTAATTCAGAACATGATTGGTTCAGACCCGGAGAAACTCCCCTTTTCATTGGCTGTTCGTATAGTCGACCAAAACATGTTAGAATGACGACTATTGAGAAGGATATTGATCATGTTTATATAAATATTGAGGGAAATTATTTTTTTATATATATGTCATTATCGTTTTATCGCCCAGCCCTAATTTAAAGTCATTTCAGTCAGACTTCTGTGTTTACGTGGATTTTTAAAGTCCACTTTAAGGGTTAAATGGACTAAAAATACAAACTGACGACGTCACATCAGGTCCTAACCCTCTGAAATGACTGTTTCTACTTTAAATGAATCTCTTCATACCTCGGTAACAGAGCGCGTACTTTCTATTAAAAGGCAGCAGTGAAGACCCTCTGCTTAAATGTCCCGTATATTAAAATAACTGTTCTGTTGTTTCTGTAGTTTACACACAGAGTCTGTGAAAACAGTGTTTCCTCCTCGTTGTTTAACCCTTTAACCGTGATCTGAACTGTAGACCGACCTGAGGACTCCTTAAATGACAGCATTCCTCGTCTATCTGCAGATATTTAACCCCGACATTCAGGCGTTTCAAATCTCTCATGTCACATTAGGACTGAGCTGTAAAGATGGAGGTAACAGCCTCATTAAAAATGGGTTTGACCTCGTCCTAAACGTCGACTTCTCCCCAGCTCTTTTTTTCCGAGGAGTTTGGTGAGCCCCCTTTTTTTCAGTCTAATGATGAAGAAACTCAAACACATTCAAATGGATCCTGGTTTTAATGAAGCGCTGCAGCCCAGGGCCTCTCTGTGGAGTTTTCTTATAAAAACACTGAAATTAAACATGGCTGCTGCTGGCTGCTGCTGCTGCTGCATAAATGTGGACACTGACAATTAGAGATTGGGCCAATTATCCAGCCTTCTGTCTGTGTTTTTAAAGCAGCAGATTTTATTATTATTACTACAGGAGTTTGACGCGTTCATGGTGAAAAAAATAAATATATATTGAATCACGACATGACCCGGGTCTCCTCCCTGCGACACACAGACATATTGAGAGATGTTGCATCACTGCTGCCCTGCTCTGCAGAAACACTCAAACCAATTAGAGCAATGACTCAGAGAGGATACTGCTGCGCTCTTAAAATGTGACACAAATTCATCCTCAGCTACCACCATCCCATCGTCTCCATACAAATTGGATACTCACCATGTTGTACAGTTGATCAGGCCACAGCCACAGAGCCTCAGGCGGGTTTCACCGCACGCTCCCCGAGTCAGCGTTCACACCAGCGTATTCATTTCACTCCACGTCTGAATCATCATCACTGAGAAATGAGAGGATAATGTTTCCAAATTACAACTCTGAGATTAACTTGAGGGTCTGTTTACGAGACCAAAATGGATCAGACGGTTTCCCAGCACCAGGCTTACACGGGTCTGCGGTCACCTCAGTATGGTGGACAAAATCATTAATTATATTATTACAATATTATTGTAAAACTGGGAAAAAACACCCAGTCAGTCAAAGAAAAGGCAGGAATCTCCACCTCAAGAGTCAACAGCTTCTGAGGCTTTTATTTTGAAAAGTTTATTGTCTTGCTCAGGTTGCTAGATTTTCTGCATAATAATAAAAAAATTTAAAAAAAACTTTAATTTTGAAAATGCACTTTAGGTAGAAAGTGAAAGTTACAAAACTAAATATAAAGAGCAAAATGATCATAATAAATCAACTATTATTATTATTAAATTTTTATTATTATTTTTAGTTTTATTGTTATCAAATTATTTTTTTTCAATTATTATTATTATTATTATTATTATTATTATTGTTACAACTATTGTTATTATTATTATTTTTTCAATCAATATCATTATCTTTTATTAATATTGAAATTGTTATTGTTATTATTTTTAAATAAATATTATTATTGTTATTTTTATTAAAAATTTAATCTTTATTTTTATTATTAAGACCAATATTGTTATTATAGATTTTTTAAATTATAATAATAATATTAATATTGATAATAATAATAATAATAATATATTTTTATTGCTATCATTATTTATTTATTTTTTTTATTGTTATCATTATTATCATTATTGTTATTATTCCTATGTAAATAGTGGATGACTTTTTGAGACATAACAAATACAAGACTACAGACAATTGATTATCCCTTCGGATATAAATAAAGTTCTTCTTATCTAATTATTGTCGCAGAACCGCACATTATTAGCACACTATTCCTGCTTTAAAGAAAAGATAAAATAAAATAAAATAAAATAAAATAAAGGATAGCCCGCCCTCAGCTCACTCTGCCTGCTTTCTCTTTAATGCAGACCCTTATTCTGGTGGTTCAGGACCCCCCATGTACAAAGACTTCAGTCATGGTTGCATCAGTTGCTGGTTTGACTCCCAGCAGATGTAAAATCCTGCCCCTGAGTGTAACCATGGTGATCCCGGTTCTGAACTCTCTGATCCGTCTCTCTGCCTGTGGTCGGCCTCGTCTGTGGATCCATTTTTGAGGAGGTGCAGAAGCTCCATGAACCCACGGCGTTTGTCACAGCTCACAGTTATTGGTATATATCAGGCTTTAGTGTCGGCTTCAAACAACTGGGGGGTCTTTTCTGCGCTGGGCTGCACCCCCCCAGAGGGCTCTGTATGTTAAATGCATGTTCTGGTTGATGGATGGGGTGTCACAGCAGCCCTGCAGTTCACAGTCTCAGATCGCTTCTGCATTCGTGATTTCATGTCAGCTCTCCTAATATAGAAAACACTCATAGATGTCTCTCTGCTTAAACACACAAACACAAATAATGTCCAATCCAGACCCCTACCTTAAAGGGGGATTACACTCTGTAATCCGCTGCTCTTTAAATCAAGTCTGTGTGTTTCATGTGTGTGTACATGCAGTGACATGATTGCTTTGGCGTTGTTGTGACTTGTCGGCAGGTGCAGACCTGGTACGAGACTAGGACAGAGATGTAGTTTAGATCCAGTCCAGTGTGGTCCGGTTTTTCCCGCTCTGTTTTTCTCTTTCTTTAAAATCATCTTTTCTTCTTTCTCTCCGTCATTATCGAACCTCGTCCTGAAGACGCAGCTTGTTAAAATGAACAGCACATAAATTTACATACAGATACACCACTAAAGAAACAAGAGCAGCCTAAAAAGAGCTTTTCCAATTAATTATCAGGAAGTAGATTTGTCCAGATTAAACGGAGGAGTCGGGTCAGACAGCATTACGAAGCCTTTTAAACACAGGAAACATCCCAACACTCCCACAATGCAACAGTTCCTCTCTCATCGCTGAAAGTGAAGCTGAAACACAAACACGAGTGTCTGATGTAACTTTAGAAAAATCAGGTTTAAAAGCAAACAGGATCATTATGGACCTCTGAGGGTCGATTCTGAGTGAGAAAAAATGAGTTTAGAGAATAAAATTAGAGGAATTATTGAAACTGTCTCACCTCGTAGTACCTGTTCAAAGGTTCCCTCCTAAAGCCGGGTCATTTAGCTGTGTCTGCTCAGTGTTAGTGAGTGAGTGATATTGTAATAACGCAGAATTCCTCTAGGGGCGACAAAAGTTATGCACTATAGCTTTGAATAATATCCTCATTTTGATTTTTGTCTGTCCACATAAAGCCGATATTTTTAAGTGTCTTCATTACGCTCATGTGTACATTATTTTTCCCTGAACCGAACAGGAAATTAAAAAATACAAAAATAGACTTAATCAGAGAGCCGAAAACATCGGTCTGGTTTACTTCCTGCAAAAATGTGACAGGTGACAGTTTACCTGGAGAGAGTTGTATAGTTTAAGAGTTAAAAAGCAGAAGTCAAGAGTATGTCTTATACCTGTATTTTTACACACGTCTGGTCATCAACATAATATTTTTGTAAGTGATGCTGAGTGATAGAGCTGGGCGAGAACATGAACTCGACATAATTTACAGTCCACATTACTCTGCTTCATGTCCGACCTCCAAAAACCAAAATACCTCCACACCACCGACGTTTTCCTAACGCCAGTGTTGTGGTTGACATTGATGTGGTCATCTGTTGAGCCTTCATGGTCATTTCTGTCGGGGGTAGCACTCATTTTCTTTGTTTCTCACCAACAGTGCTGTCGGCTTCACCTGTTAAAGTGCTATGGTTGGGTGGAGCTGCTGTCTGCTACGACGCTGCAGTTGGTTGATACTTGGTTCTAATTCAGAACATGATTGGTTCAGACCCGGAGACACTCCCCTTTTCATTGGCTGTTCGTATAGTCGACCAAAACATGTCAGAATGACGACTATTGAAAAGCATATTGATCATGTTTGATATGATATTGAGGGAAATTAACCTTCGATATATATCGTTATTGTTTTATTGCTCAGCCCTACTAAGTGATTTAACAGACTGTATTCCTGCCCTCCTGTGAAGCAGAGATCAGGGTAGGAAACTCATAAACTGCTCTCATGTAATTAAGTCAAACAAGATGCAATAATGGGATTAATTAAGGTCATTTTACAGATTCACTTTAAATACAGATAATGAGGAGAGGCATGAAAAAACACCCATTTACTAACATCAAGACAACAATTATCATCATCATCATCATCATCATCATCATCGTCCAGTAACTTGTTCAGATTCACGTCTGAAGATCACAGAAATGTCAGGAAAAGACAAACATGTCCAAAAACACAATAATTCATATTTTTTACCAATACTTTAAAAGTGTTCAAGTTTAAGTTTCCGTCTATTTTCTCATCACTAGTCAACTAAGAGTCCCAGTAGGACCAGTACAGCACCAACTCTGAGCAGGACCAGACTCACTGGTGTACAGCCGTCTGCCACAGGCAGGAGGCGACCTGTCGCCACGGTGACCGAGGACTCCATGAGGTGTTAGACCTGCCTGGATTAATCAGTCAGCTGAGGGACTTAAAATAGCCTTGGCATGTTTTCACAACAGTCAGGAGGAGAGAGGAGGAGGAGGAGGAGGAGGAGGAGGAGCTGTTGGAGCAGGATTCACCTCAAGAGGAGAAACGATGGAGGAAAAAAAGTCCTTCACTCCCTCAAAACCACAAAACTCAGGTGGTAATTTCAGCTTTAAAGGTTAAACAGGAATGCAGCTAATCCTTCTGTATCCACATACGAAGACAAATCCTTTAATTCACCTGACTAAGACTTTGACCACAGCTTACAGAGCTCCAATCTGGAGAGAAACAACCCACGGCTGCCAGAGAGAAACAAAAACACACCTTCTGTTGGTGGGAGGAAGGAAGGAGGGAAAGAAAAAGGAGAGGAGAGAAGGAGAGAAGGAGAGAGGAGGCAGGTGTGGATCTGAGTACAGGAGAGGCTCTAATTGTTCTGTTTCCTGTTTTTATTCGGTTCTGTAACCAACAATCTTCTCCAAATATTAAATTTCAAAATAAAAGCCTCAGTAACGATGGTAAATGAGGCTCTTTGATGATGTTTTGGTCTCAGGGCTGGTAATAAATCATAAATCTGACTTTGATTAGAAATAGATGTTGAATTATTATCAATGTTTATTCAGTCATCTCTCTTCTTTTGTCGTATTTTTGAGTTTTCTGTCACATCGTTAACAGCAACAATAATCGTTCGGTATAAATCTGATATCCTGACAACCATCGTCCACATCAAACTAATGCAGAGGTCTTGACTTTATGACAATTAATTACATTTTAATCCACTTTTTAAACTCCTGACTGTGTTTTTATTGACGTCTGTGTCTGACAATAACAATGACAACAGACAATTATTCAATAAAATCTAAATATTGATCCAGAAGCTCATGAATTAGTCTGACAGTTTGGTTTTTAATTCCTCAGAAAAGCTGAAAATATGATTTGGATCATAACATAAAGTCCCTCCTTCAAAATAAAAGCCTTTCTGTATTTGTTGTTCCTATAGATCAGTTTGAACACAGCTAAGCTTCTCCTCTGCACAGGCGATCAATAAATAAATGTGATCATCTGAATGAGCGCAGAGACTCATGTCAGACACATGATGAAATCAGACAGCTGATTTCTGCGCCGCCCGCCATGACGACCTCATGTCGTCCTCGTCCCCATCCCCGTCCTCGTCCTCACCTGACATCATAAACACAGATCCTCACCTCCATGTTAGTCTGGTTAAAAAGTCTGAGGTCGTTTAATATCAGAGGTAAACAGTTCAGGTTTGCCGGGCTGTGATTGGCCGTCCTGCACAGACGTCTGCGCCTTCAGCTCCTCTACCCTGATCTCTGCAACAGTGTCCTGCTTATTAAAACATGAAATCTGTTTGCATAAGGGATCAGTCCAAAACATCATTAAGCGTGCATACATTCACGTCTCATCGGACCGCTGTCGTTTCCATAATGATCTGCTGGAAACCTCGTGTCTGAATAAATGTTTTTCAAAGCGGCGATGAAAGTTGAAGAGTCAGATTTGGAGTCTGAGCTGCAGCTGCAGACTAAACACCGACATTTAGAGCGAGAAGCTTTTATATAATAATATGTATGTATGCAAACAGGCGTCACTGCTCCATGATCACTATGAGGCTTTTAATGACAGAAGAAGAAACATAATTACAGGAGCAGATTATCAGAAATCCTCTTATCCTCCTTGACAACTCTGCAGATAATCACTCATGTGTGATAGGAACTCACATCACAGATTTACAGTAACTCTTCATTTACTCCGTATTGATCATCTGAGATCTGTGTTTATCTGTGTGTGAGCGTGTTCTTCCTCTGTATCCTCACACGACCCGCAGATGTACCGATGGAAAAATCTGCTCTTTCTGTTTTTTCATCTTTAATTCAAAGCTGTAATTGGCCGACACTTTCTCACTTTCATAAAAAGAGCTCCGTCTAATTAATAAAACAGTTTAAGGGTTTGTTTTTGCCCAAGCCCTCGGTCTCGCGGTGACTAATGTTTGCCAACTTTTGATGGATGTCAGGTTGAAACGTGCGTCACTAAGCCAGTTCACCAGCTCTCTGATTTATAAATAAGTGTTCCTGCTGTTCTGGAGGAAAACATCCTTCCTGCAGAGTCAGATCACTCTGAAAACTCAGGAACAAGTTTGGAAAAGTTAGTTTGGTAGATAAACAGAAAACGAGTAAAATCTAACGAGTAAGAGAGTTTGATTCACTTCAGGGACAGAATTCAACAGTTTGAGAATCATTGAAGTATTTAAATATTTAAATAATTATACTACGTTTAATAGTCAGTTAAACTAATAGTTGAAACTCCTTAAAAATACACAGACCTGGACCAGAGACCCCAGAGAGAAACCTGCAGGTGTGTTACGGACTCTCTTTAAAGGGATATTCTGACGTAAAATTAATTTAGAGTCAAACCCACCTTAACACCGAGTTAGACCCCCCCTCCAGAGATGAATGTTGACGACCGCTTGCTTCTCTAGTTATACCAACTTTAGTAACGACCGCAGGATAGTAATACAAAGAGCCACGCCCTCAACCAAAACGCCACTCTATAGCCACAAATAAGGCTCAGAACAGCACCTAACTTCATCAACAGGACATATAGGGTCACAAACATAGTACTATATTCAGAGTTGTTCTAACTCCTAAGAAAACATAAACTTAAGCGGGGGCGTTTCTCCACCTCTGTCGTCTATAAGCTGGGCCAATAAACTTCTACTGTAGTAAAATGAAAAGGTAAAGGTGTTTTTATTGAGCCGAATTATCAATAAAATCATGATTTTGTTAACAGGTATGGATTTATGTGCTGTCGAGTTAATATATCTGAACAAGAGCACAGTAAAGTTAAATCAGCTAATTTTCCAATGAGGTTCTGTTATTGAACAGACCTACACCGTGATCTACTCAGGTTAGTACATATAGGGTCCCAGCCATAGTACTAGACACCAAACATCTTTGTAACTTTGACTCATTTCTTTAGCAAAGAGACTAAACACAACTCACCTACTCTCTTCCAGCAGACGCTTGTTTGTAGCGAGACCTCAGGCCAGTCCATTACAGACTACAGTGGGGTGCCGCAGCTCAAGGAAGAACATTTATAATCATTTCTTTATCATTTCCTTGAAGTAATAATCACCATATTAATTATTTTACAGACGCGGTAGTTCTTCTGTCTTAGCGTCTCGGTCTGATTGTATTTCCATGAAGAAATGATCATAAATGTTCTTCCTTGAGCTGCGGCACCCCGCTGTAGCCCGTAATGGACTGACCTGAGATCTTGCTACAAACAAGCGTCTGCTGGAAGAGAGTAGGTGAGTTGTGTTTAGTGTCACAATCCAGGACTTCAGGAGAACAGGAAAAATGGGGAGCAGAAACAGAACATATCATGACAGTTTTGGTGTTTTGGTGAATTTTCAGTTTATCTCTCAGCCTTATATCCTCCCATCACTGTAATCCTAATGAAAGCGTTCTTCCTGTCTGATCACGTTCCGATCACTCCCTCTCCTTTGTCTCCTCTTTGCTCAGAATCACATAGATGTCTTTTCTCTTGAAGTGAGCGGAGGACAGAGCGAACTCTCGGGGCCGGCTCTCCTCTCTTCCTCCTCTAATTAGAGGTGTGGGTTTTAGGTCCTCAAACAGAGCTCTTTTCTGCGTCTCCAAGTGGAGATCAAAGACGGGATGATCAAGCGTTTTTCTGAGCAATGAGAGCTCTTAAACTTTGGAACAAGCAGCCCGAGGAAACGGGAGGAGCTAACGGGAACTTTTATAAAGACGCCACAGAAAAGTCCTTTTATCCACTTCAGCTGTAGTGAACGTCACTGCTGCATGAAAGGCCTAAATCCAGCGGTCCGGATCGGGGACTGGATGAAGTATTTCTGATGTGGATTTGATCTTAGCTCTGTGACCTCTGACTGCTGCTCGAACCTTCAGACATCCTGTTTTATTTTGAAGGTGTCACGTTGACACTGACGTCAGACACAAGCTCAGTTTCCTTTTCCTCGTTTGTTTTTAATCATCAACCTAAACTGTGTTGAATAACAGCTGCTGAAGTTCTAATCAGTCAGACTGACGGGGTTTAATTCCATCAGCAGAGTCTGATCAGAGACGCTGAGAACTGAACGTTTCTTCTCCCTGTTCAATCTCATTTCTAATCTGAGAGTACACACCGTTTACTAAAACCAAGCCTACTTTTCCGTTCACACCGCTGTGCGCTGAATTTGGTTCTCTAAATTTACAGAGCGGCACAGCTCGGTACCTTTCATTACTTTGGCTGATTACCCAACAGTCCAACAAATGGCGCGTGTTTGCAGTCGGCTCATTTGGCTCATGAAGTGAAGAAGGCAGAAGCAATCGCACAGACCGGCGTGAGGATGACGCTCATGAAACAGCAGCAGGTCATGGAAACACCTCAGACTCTGGGTGAACTCTCTGTCACGGTCTGCTTTAAGATACTCCGGTTTGGGACCCTCAAACCCGACTGTGTTTGCTTGTCCCCGTCAGACTGGATCCTACCGTAGGACCACAGACGCCTCAGAATGGTTTCACTTCTTGGAGGATGTCTGGATCAGCTGTTTTAGCTCCTGATCCTGGTCTACTTTTGTGATATTGAACTTGGGTCAGTCCATCTCAGATGAGCTCGGGTCCAGATATGCCGGCGCCGTTTCAGGCTTCAATCTGTCTTTGTCTTTGTGTGTTCGAGTGTGTAGATGTAAAGATGAACTGTGTCACCTGACGACGGTTTCCTGAAGTCCTCCTCCCATATTTACAGGAAAATAAATCCAACCTGAAACTAACTTCACCGCCGTATTTACAGGAAAATATATCCAACCTGAAACTAACTTCACCGCCGTATTTACAGGAAAATATATCCAACCTAAAACTAACTTCACCGCCGTATTTACAGGAAAATATATCCAACCTAAAACTAACTTCACCGCCGTATTTACAGGAAAATATACCCAACCTAAAACTAACTTCACCGCCGTATTTACAGGAAAATATATCCAACCTGAAACTAACTTCACCGCCGTATTTACAGGAAAAAAAAACATTTGTTGATTTTTTTTTATTCACTCATGTTACCCTAAATACTTTTACAGTTCGCACAGATCTATTTTTAGTCGAACTATCAAGCCCTGATTGTGGTCACAGAGGGGGTCAGATCGAATCTTGAACACTCTAAAGTTTCAATATTTCCACATATAATAATGTAATAATAATTATATAATTATATTAATAATTAAATATAATAATTTCTTCTACATTTGATTAATCAGTTCTTCTCTCTTCATCCCTGATTAGCCCTCTCTCTCTCTCTCTCTCTCTCTCTCTCTCTCTCTCTCCCTCCCTCTCTCTCTCCCTCCTCCTCCTCT